TCTTCTGCAGAAATCTCATTTGCCCTCCCCTGATTTGAGAAGCAAGTGTGGCCCAGGCTGATGCTCCATGGAAGGGGCTGGAGGATGAGGTAAGGGAGAGAGTGCTTGTCCGCAGCAGCCAGTTCCTCTCTCCTTCCTCGGTGGCAAACTCCCTCTCCGTATTCTGGCCATACTGGCAACCACGCAGTCCTCTGACAGCCATGGAGTCCTCTGGCTGTGCACTTAGCATCGAGCACTTAGCATATATATCTTTGCATTGCTGGGCATCCCTGTTAACTCCTGGAGGGCAGACTGGGTCTTGGAATCCATAGTAGCTCTGGCCTCCTCGCCTATTGCTTGCACATAGTAGGTGCTTTAATCAAGTAGACTGATGACTCAGCAGGTCATGGGTGTTTATGAGCCTTAACCATGGGAGGGAGACACTGAGCTAGTTCTCCAGGTGCCTAATGAATTAGAAAGTCCCTTCCCTCCAAGAGGTCGCTGTGTGGTGTGGAAGACTGATTTTTCCTCCTCTAATAGAAGGTGGAGGAAGAAAAGAACACAGAGTTCCAGGTTTTTCCAAGGAGGGAGACTCACCCAACTTAGGAACCCAGAAAAGTCTTCCCAGGGCCCTGGTGGTCTGAGCTGGGCCTTGAAAGGAGGGTAGAATTTTGGCAGGTGAGAAAGAAGAGCCATGCAGGCAAAGGGCCTGGCGTGGGTGCGGGTGTGGAGGGGAAAGCAGAGGGTGAGGACAGGGACCTGTGAGCCAACCCAGGCTGGGGAAGGCCCTGCGGGGCTGAGGCTCGGCCTCAGTCCCGCTCTGCCTCTGTCTACACCGCTCTTCATAGATGCTTGGCTGTTCCCCAGAGCAGGCCAGGGCACCTGGGGCCCTAGGGACCAGGGGGTCCCTTTGTGTGGGGAATTCTGCCTTAGCTTATAAAACCCAGCTCCCTTTCCCTGCGCCATCTCCCCCACCCCCGACCCCACAGCAGTGAGGAGCCTGCTACCTCAAGGAAACGCCACCTCGAAAAATCTGCTCCTTGAAGAAAGGAGCAGCTGGGCCCTCCCTGGTCCTTCCTTCCCTGCTCTCCCTCTTCGTGTGTGCCCTCTTTCCCGGGTCACTCACCAGGGGCCCAACCTTCCCTTCTTTTCAGAGGCATGGAGCCAGAGGTGCCTGACTCTCGGGGTGTCTGAAAGTGTGTCCAGGCTCAGGGCTGGGGGTGGGGGTGGCCGGACTGCGCTAGGGGTGCAGAGAGCCAGATATGGGGGAAGGCCGGGCGAACCTTACCAAGGAGGCACGGTGTCCTTGAACATTTGTGGGGTTTTAGGGATCCCCCCTGTGTGCCAGGTGGTTACACCTGTGTCACTTCCTCTCTGATGAATTTAGCAGTGTAGACGCTAGTCAGAGGAAGAGTCTCTGCCGCCATCCCTGCCCCAGGAGAGCCGACCCCACCCACCGACCCCGCCGACTCCGGCTCCTCGCAGTCCCGTTCTTCAGGGTCACAGACCCCCGCGTGCAGCCCACAGCATAGCCATGCCAAGTCCATGCAGCACACTGTCCCAGCCGGAGAGCGCTAGCTAGAGGGGGTGGGCGACGCTCCAGCGTCCCAGGCCTCCCAGATGCCCACCGGGCCGTGGAGTCAGCGGGTTTCAGGTTGTCAGAGGTCACCCAAGTCAACCTCCTCATTTGACGTTTGGGGATACTGAGAGCTGGCGCAAGTCGTCCCGTGCCACATAGCTGACCATGGAGGAGGGACTGGAAGCTGAGCCTCCTGACCTGCTGGCCAGCGCCCTCCCCCTCCCTGGGCTACCCCGAACACCCCCCCAGGTCTGTGGCATTTCATTCTGCCAGATGAAGTCAGGGCCCCCGGCAGGGAGGCCAGCTCTTGGCCTGGCAGGGCAGAAGCACAGGGTGAGGCAGAGGTGGGGCGACGTGGGCCTGGGTGGAAGGAGCCGTTCCTTCCTTAGCGAGGTGGGGGCTTCCTTCGGCCCACGTGACCACAGAGGCAACAGGTCACTGACCTCGGTGAGAACGCTGATTTGGGCCTGGACCACCCTGTTCCACTGTCACCCGCGGGGGCTCTGGCTCAGTCTCTTGTGAAGCCAGGTGTTCGCAGGCCTGCGGGTGGGCGGTGCTGGGCAGTAATAGGGTGCCTGAGCCCGCACGCAGGGCTGGACACGGTAGTGAGGCCCCGAAGGCAACGGGTCTCAAGACCCGGCACTTGACAGTTCATAGAGGATGTTCGCCAACAGGACTGTAATTTGCCCCGTGGGGCGGGGCTCGGGGGCCGCGTCCGCTTCCTGGGCAGGCGGTCCTCAGCAGAAGGGGCTGCGAGTCCCGGGAATGGAGTGAGCGTCCCTAAGCTCCGTGAACGCTCTCTGGCAGCGGCCCCGGGCGCTGCCCGTCTCTGATCTGCGCTCCTGCAATGCTCCCATTGCTCTCCTTCTGGCGCCCCGTACTCCTTGTGCTTCTGGCCTGCCAGATCCCCAGCGACTCTGCAGACTTCTCCACCATAGCTTTCCCTACTTCTAATCTCCCTGCACCACCTCTGACCCAGACACGAGTTGAATGGAGAGGCCCAGGGGAGCCCCGAAGTCAGGCCCTGCAGGGAGGAGGGTCCTGGCTGAGGAGACCCAACGAGCCTGCATACAGAGTCCACCTCCGTGAACTGCCTCCCCCTGGGAAATGTGGTGTGGTCACTGAAACCGGGCAGATCGTTCCTTTTTGTCTCCAACCACGGGCAGCTTGCAGGGAAATGTGTGGAGGACCTTCCCCGGCCCATTTGGGCCTCCTGTCACCTCCTCTGTACTTATTTCTCCTTGACACTGACTTTTAGACTTTTCCTCACGCGTATTTCTATGCTATTCTCTGTATTCGTGCGAGGGGCTCTGGATCCCTGTGGTGTTAGCTGGGGTGTAATAAGGAAATGGATAACACCAGGACTGAAAGAAAGTGCGAGAGGCTTCTACTTGGCCAGTTAACCAGGGCATTCAGCCCCCACAGAAGCTCAGGGTCTGGAGCTTTCCAGCTAATATTTGACTCTAGTCTGAGGCCATCAGTGGGTTCGGACTGCTCCAATGAGAGCCTGAAAGGGAGCAGGTGTATGAGAACCAGGTTGCCCTGATTCTTCAGGATCTCCATTGGGGTGGAAGGAAACCAAAGGAAGGGGTGAGGGGCGGCACTGCTGATGGCAGAAATCGGCAAATCTCGGCGGGGCGGGGGGCAGGCAGAGGATGTGGGCGGGGCTGCATTGTGACTTTCGTGGGCCGTAGACACTTCCACCTTTGTGGCCAAAATGGTATTTTATGACTGCTCTGGTAGAAAGACGAATGTAACCCTGGCTGGATTCATTATTTTTTTTTTTTAAGATTTTATTTATTTTTGACAGAGAGAGAGAGCACAAGCAGGGGGAACATCAGAGGGAAAGGGAGAAGCAGACTCCCAACTAATCAGGGAGCCCGATGCGGGGCTCGATCCCAGGACCCCCGGATCATGACCTGAGCTGAAGGCAGACGCTTAACCATCTGAGCCACCCAGGTGCCCCTGGATTCATTATTATAGATTCATTTTCCCCCCCGAATTTAAAAGAAATAAAAATGAAAATATTTTCTAAGCCCCTGGAAGAACTGCGGGCCCAGGCTTGTGGCATTTTGCCTGAAGCATTGGCCCTGGCTCGGGGTGAGAAGTGTCCCTGGACTCAGGATGACTTGGAAAAGGCCCCATCCTGGAGCTCTCCCACCATGTGCCAGCTGGCGGCTTGGGCCCGGGGCCCTGGTGCTTCTGCCCCGTGGGGAGGGGACAGGTGAGCTCTGTCGTGACCACAGAAGCCAGCTCCAGTGCCATCATTTTGCGTTTCAGACGAGAAAGGTGAGACTCGGAGGAGGAAGCTCTCTAATTTCCAAAACACGGAGTGGACATCTAGAGTGGGAATGGTTGGTCCCCGTGGGCCTGGGCAACCCGTGGGTCCCATTACCACCCAGTGGCAAGGGTCTCCTGACCGAGAAGCCCCCTCACGCGGAGTTCATGGGACTGTGTGTGGGCAGTCTAAGTTTGCCACCGTACTGTCTATGAAGAAAGGATCTACTAAGAAAAATGAAAATGAGGGACGCCTGGGTGGCTCAGTCATTAAGCGTCTGCCTTCGGCTCAGGTCATGATCCCAGGGTCCTGGGATCGAGTCCCACATCGGGCTCCCTGCTTGGCGGAAAGCCTGCTTCTCCCTCTCCCTCTGCCTGCCGCTCCCCCTGCTTGTGCTCTCTCTCTATCTCTGTTAAATAAATAAAAATCTTTTTAAAAATAATAAAAAAAAAGAAGAGAAAAATGAAAATGAAAGAAAATGAGGGGGAATGGTTATACTACCCAAGCAGTTTGTTATTTTCAAGCCCCAAAGCAATACCAGTTTATGTTTTCAAACACCACACAGTAAACCTGCAGGCCACCCCACAGGTAGTTCATATGTAGTCTTTCAGGCACGGTTCCTGAGACCTTTACTAAGCCGTGCACTGCGAACAGAACTCTATAACACTCTATTTCTTAAAAAATAAACCCAACTTCAGATGGCCAATGTGGCCCGGATTTGTGAGTGTTTTCTGAACGTTCTTGCTTGGAGCGGAATGGCAATGAGGCACACCTCTCAGCGGCTGGGGTGAGGGGGCCTTGCAAATCTGCACCCCATGACCAGCTACCAGCAGCAATGGCTGTTACTGCCCACTGCCCTCAAAGGGAAGAAACACACAAAATCACCCCAATACCAAAAGCAATAACAAATAGCTCCTTGGAACCCTGGGGATTTCAGCAGACCTGAACTTGACCTTGAAACGCTCAAATGGCACCACAAGGAACTTGGGATATGTTACATACAAGAGACCTTGCTTAAGCGACCCCTCCATCCCTCTCACTGTTGGACCTCACTTTTCCATACATTACCCTATACTTCTGAGGACCCCTCCTTCTGGGACTTCCTGCTTTCACAAGAGCGAATGTATTTAATTTAATGACTGATCAGGATCATGAATTGCCAGGTTTCTTTTTTTTTTAATAATGAAAATCCATAAGAGTTTAAAATATTCTTAGACACACCTAGGCAAACACCACTGACCTCCACGTCCCCGTGAATTCGCACATAAGCTAGCGAGCACCTCGGTGCTGGCTGGCCCCCTTTGGCACCAGAACACAATAATTTATTACGCTTCAATACTTAATAAGTGTGCACAAATATCATGCAAACATATGCCCATACTCACAAACAAAAAGTGTATTAGAGTCGTAGACTTATACAAAACATCTTGTAAACAAAGGGAAAGAGGTTGGCATTCTTTGTACAAAATATGCAGGTTTTTCTTTTTTTTAATAATCTGTAAGATGCATCATACTTCTGGCATTTTCAAAAAGTGAAAACTGTATAAAAATAAATATTCTATGTACAAACACACACACAGGCCCATCCCAGGTTAGAGGCATCACTGCAAAACAAAAACACACAAAACAGAGTAGAGTTAGTGTCGGTGGGCTTGCGGGGGTCTCCTTCCCTTGTGGGAAAGGAGTGTGCTCTTTGGAGGGCTGTGGTGGTGGGCGGCTCTGGATAGGGGCACCACGGCCCCCTGGGTGCAAGGCCCTGGTGCTGTCTGCACCCGGAAGACAGAAAATCACTTTCACCTTCCTGTCATCCCCTTTGTGGACACTAGAGGGCACTTGCTCTCCATGTGGCCTTTGGAGGCCGGGCTGTGGATGAATTTATGGCGCGAACCAACAGAGACGAGGCTCTCGGGCTGCTTCCCCAAGACACTGTAGCTCTTGATGGTGACTGTTCTTCCCCTGCTAAGCTCAAACCCTCGCATCTCCTGGTCAGGGATGCCTTGGGTACCTGGGCGTGTAGGGACCCCGCCTTGGGCCTGGTGTCTTGGTGGTTTCACTACTTTTAACTGAATCCTGTGAACTAATGAGATTCTGGGCATTTAGCACAGAGGAGCTATCGTCTGATTGTAAGTGTGCGTCTGCCGTCACTGAGACAGGGCTAGATTAGCTAAGCACCAAGTCGTGGACATGCTGGGATCTCCAGCCCTTTTATGAGGACAAACTAACAGCTGGAGACCATGAGGTGAGGGCTGTGAGACATCTCAGTGGGAGCAAAGAGGAGAGGGGCCGTGGAGGGAGGGTGAGCAGCACGTTAGGGCTTCTGGATTAGCAAACTGATGGCCCTCGTCAAGTTGAGGAGTCCTGTGCTTTGGGGGCCCTGGATGGGTGGGGTGATCTTGTGCAGGGGCATAGCCTTGTGGTGTCAGACCGTTTTAAGGATGGCAATGCCAAGGGCGAACAAATGAAAACTCACTGCTGGTAGGAATCCTGGGACCCCGGGAGGGGCTGGGCTGTAGGACTCGTGTGTGCAAACATGGAGCTCTGGCAGTTTGAGTTCAAGGGGAAGGGTAGAGTGGTGACCCGGCCAGTGTCTAGGAGGAGGTAGGGAAGTGATCAGAGTGTACAGTTTAAGCAACTCAGATTTCCTACATCTGGGTAAATGTCATCATGTGGCTTAATGGCTTAAATGACCTCGTGTGAACACTGAGAATAGCTACTGATAACTAATTTTAAAACGTGGTCTAGTAGTCCTTGGAGGAAAGTGCTGTGGAAATTAACCACACAAAGCATAAAGATGTCAGCTGTGTGGCTACGTGGAAATTCCAGACGCTGGGGTCTGTGGATGCCTTAAAAAGCATTTTAAAAAGTTCTCTAAGTGCATGCAGTGTGTGGGATGTTTAATGGGCACTCTGCCTTCGGGAGCGTTCCTTTCTCGACCCACGTCATTTGCAGAGAGGCCCAGGATGGAAACTGCACGTGCTTAATCACACTTGAGAAGGGGGGGCACCACAAACTGCTGGGCAGCCTTACCTTGTTCCAGCAGCCCTGGACTGGTAAACCGTCTTCACCCTATAGTGAGGAAGGAAGGCAGATGGCTCAGACTCCGAGACAGCCCCCCAAGCAGGCGGGACGGGGGGACAAGGGCCACAGACACTGCGGCAGCTGATCAGGATGCAGCCCACCTCTTGTCTCTTTCTCTTCTCTGCTGCAGGGCAGAACCTCGGAAGGGGCTGGGAAGCCAGCCAGGTGGACTTCCCATTGACTAGGGTCCCATGTAGTTGTAGGGCAAGGCCAAGAGGGGCTGCCCTAGCCTGTGGGGTCAGCCCTAGCCTGTCAAGGACAGCCCTAAGCCCCGCGGGTCTCTGCTCTGGCTGGACTGAGGGCTAGGTGCTCATGGGTAAGTCACTCAGCACTTGGCGGCCTGTCTTTTCCTCTGTAAAACCTGGGAAGGCACAACTGTATGAAATGGTCGCTATGGTGCCCCCAGCTCTCCTACTATCTCAGTTGCCTCTCTTCCTCAGCGGTAAGAGGAAGACGTCTAGGCAGGTCCATGTGATAATCAGTAAGGAGGAGGACGGGACACAACGGGGCAAGCCACCTCACAGGTATTGCCACGTGGCCCTGAGGTGCCTTCCACAAGGCAACGCTGGCCTCTGGCACAGCCCTGGCCATCGTTGGGAATTTGGGGTGGGGGGGATGAAGTGGAGGATGGGATGCTGTGCGCCGTTTGTCTTCTTTGCTGGCGGGCCCCCTGCGGAGCACCTGAGTCTTCTTGGGGCCCGATGTCCCGGCTTCTCTGGCATACCCTTTGGGGAATCTGGAACTTTCGTGAGACAAAGTGGGGAGGGTGGGGCTGAACCGGGGCATAGATCTAGTTCTCAGTCCGTGTCTACTAGAACTGCAGCCCAGATTCTAGAATTCACAGTCCAGGGCACAGCAAGGATGGACACAGGGTTTTGGGGGGACCGGAGCAAGTGGTCAGCCCAGAGGCAGTTGAAGGGGAGCCTTCTGTGCCCCAGACCAATCTCAGCACCATGACAGGTGCCTAAACCGCTCACCTGACGTTCAGCAGGCAGCCGGCCTGACACGGAGGGCCGAAGAAGTCTAGTTACCTTGTGCTAAGATAGCTGCCCCTGTCCCCACGTCCACAACAACACAGTGCAGGAGACGGGGAGCAGAGCAACGGCGAGAAACACGGTTTGCATTAAGGACCAAATAAAGATGACCTTTGTTGTCCCCTCTGGGTCAGGGAGGGTCTGCAAGGGGAGGTGGGACACTCCAGAGCCTCATGAAGACCTTCTGCCCCCTTCCCCAGCCTGCCACGGTGCAACACTCCACATGACTCTGGAAGGGAGAGGAGCCTCCGCGGGCCACAGCGGTATTCCCATTGGCACATGAAGGTGGCAGGGCGGGGGGGGGGGTGCGGCAGAGGAGAGCGAGGCAGGCAGAGGGAGCGTGGGAGAGAGGTGGCTGGAGCTGTAGAGGGCGGGACTTGAGGCGTTCAGACTGTGGGAGGCATGTGGCAGAGGGGAGACCTGGCTGGCGATTAGCGGAGGTCTCTGCAGGGGCCAGGGAGTCCCATGGTTGCATGCTCGGGTTCATGGGCCCGGGCGGTGGGGAAGTGGGGACGGCGAGCAAGGGTGTCAGCAGTGGGGAAACAGGAAGCAAGCTACTCTGTGCTCTTCTTTTGTTGTGTGCCCTGGTCCTAAAAAGTCTCTACACGGGGCTCTGTGGTCACCTCTCAGGGTCACATTTATAACAAAGTTATAAGAAAATAAGAGCATATTTTCTTATAACTTTTTCCCTTCTCTTCAAATATAATTCCCGTGGGACCCTGGGGCGGGATTTGGGACCCGGAGTCCTCATCTGACTATTGCTTGTATAAAAATAGCTCCATGAACTCCAGAACTCCTGGGGACATTTAGGAGAGAAGGAACCTTTTAAGCCAATTGCCTTGGCATGAGGGGCCATCTTCTATTCCCCTTAAAGGGAGGTGAAAAGATAGCTGTGGGGGCGAGAGTGTCCCTGCCCCGAGGGGGCCAGGGGCCGGGGCCCAGCACGAGCCGCACTGTGGCCACTCCGCCGGGACATGCTTGGAGAGTATTCCTAAGTGTCTCCCCGGCTCCTGTCTTCCCTTCCTCAATGACATTCCCAACCTTTCCATTCTCTTCCAGACTTGCTGGTGGTGAACCATCTAAAGATGGAAGGAAGGGAAGCCAAGGGAGGATTTTCTAGGGTCTTTCAGGGTTTGAGCAAAAGGGACAAGCCCTTTAGTCTCTAAAATCCTGCTCTTGGACTGTCCCCTGGTTCTGGTGGTACCACTGGGGCAGCGACCCCAGACCCAGCCTGGAGGAACGGGCAGGGTGGCCCCCTCCTCTACCTCCGTTCTAGAACTTCTCAGTCTCCCCGTGTTTATGAGCATGCCCACTGGTCCCCTGCCACCTCGCGAGATGGTGGAGTGGGAAAGGTTGTGGCACCGACTCAGGCATCTCATTCAAGTGTTTTGCCAGGTGCTCAGCAGATGCTTTTGCCGAACCAACTGCCGTGTGTGAAGGAAGAGGAGTCGGGGTTGCTACGAGCCTGGCCAGAGAGTCCACTTCCCTAGCTTTCTTTCTGGGGGTAGGATGGCTAGAAGCAGCTGTGAAAGGAGAACCATATGCAGCCAAAGCTGGCTTCGGGGGCGGACGGGACGGTTCACAGGAAGGGGATGAGCTTTCGAAGCAACTGTGGGAAGAAGCCAAGAAAACATCCTGGCAAACTTTGCATGCTCGAGGGGGCATGGCGGGAGCCCCTGAGGACCGGCCAGGGCAGGGTGACCCCTAGCGTCCACAGAGAGAAGGGGCAGGAGGCATGTGGGGGGGCGGTGTGTGGCCAGAGAGGCGTGCAGGCGAGAACCACACACATGCGGAAGCCCGAATCGGCCATGCAGGCAGGGGAGGGTGACGCCATACCAATGGGCATGGGGCATCCAGTCCGTCCAGCCCTGGTAACCCCGGCTCCCCTTTCTCTCCTTTAAAACCTCGGTGTCCCTGTTCACAAAACCAACCACGATGATTATTTAGGTCAAGGCTGGCCAGCTCCGACTGTGGAGTGGAGAGGCCCAGTCCCCCCCCAGCCAGGATGCAGGACCCTCGAGGCAGCTACAAGGAGGGCCACAATCCCGCGGATTCCCACTTCCCAGATTCAACTTTTGTGCTCTCTCTGGCTTCCACGAGAGCTGCGCTTTGGAATGTGTACAGCCAGCCCCCTCTCCGTTTAAAGACTCGCTTGGAATAAACGTGGATGAACTTCAAGTTTAGCATATCATAATTTTCAGAACCTTCAAACGGATTGTGAGGGCACTTGAGAAGCCCGGCTAATGTGCCACAAATCCTTCCTTATAAGCTTGTTTGGGGGCTCCTGGAGGGGCTCTGTCTACTGATTTTGGTCTCCGGCTTCACAGGCTTTAGTTGCATGGCTAGTGGCCGTGGGAGGCTGTATATGAAGAGCCCCCCTTCTGGCCTTGGTCTACCCCGTCTGGGGCCTGGGGTCCTGCATCCTGACGGAGGATTCCAACAGCTTGAACTGCTGGCCACAGAGGTGGCCACGAAACGAAGAAGGCAAATGTGTGGCTCACAGATGCTATGCAGGCTTCCAGAGCTATCCTGGAGCGGAGGGCCGAGGCCTGCTCCAAGATCCCTTTCCTTGGGGACCGGGTTCTTGTTTCCACACATCAATTGTTCTGCGTCTTCAGAGAAAAGGGATTTGGCCAGAATGACTTGCAGCTGTGGTTTGAGGGTACCACCACCAGCAGAATTTTCCTGGCCAAGTGACAGGATAGATTTGATAGCATTAGTGTAGACATTCGCTCGTCATCTTAGCTTATTTGCCTTCTTGGTTTCCAACTTGCAAACCTCAAGGAAAAAACCAGAACAATGCAAGTGATAAATGAAGACATACCAATGGGCAGGGGGCATCTAATCCAGGTGCTCCTTGGTCTCCCTTATCCCCTTTGGACCCTCTAGAGCCTTTCTTCCCCCTCTCCCCCTGTAAATAATGGTTTAGTCCAAGAGAAAAAAATAACATCAAAACTTTAGGATCATTCATGTGTTAAGGTTAGAAACAGAAAAAGGAAAAAAAAATTAAAGAGGGAAAATAGCGTGGTTTAAATAGGATATCCTTCCCAATAGGATTTGAGGTCAGCACCCATCCCCACCCGTCTATAAGCTGGGAACCTTGGCTAAAGCCAGTGGGCAGGGCGGCGGCGGAGGAAATCGAGGCCTGGGGGCTGGGAGCCAGTAGGGCTCAGAGCTGGAGGTGGAGGGAAATGTAGGAGGAAGCTACTCAGGGCCAGTTTTGCTAATTCTGAGCCCAGAGTGGGCCTGGGATGAACAGGGGGACCTACTTCCTTCTCCTGGTGGGTCCATTTTTGAAAGACTTTGACCTGACAACTTTGGTCCCGATTGGTTTCCATTCCTTTGATATTCTATTAGGAGGCAGGATGATTTTATTTAGAGCCCTGGGGTGTGTGTGTGTGCATGCGTGAGTGTGTGCTTGGGAATGTGTATGCGCGTGTGTGCATATACGAGTGTGTGCTTGTGCATAAGTGTATCAAGCTCACACGTGTACGTGTGTGTCCAGAGCTCCTTGGGTGGCCCCTGGCTCTGATAGGTCCTCCCACTGTATGTGGGTCTCTGGTCTCTGGTCTGAATGAGAGGCAGCTAATTTGTATACAGACAAGTTGGTTCAAGGAACTCATTTGTTTCTGAAAAACTTCAGTGAGCATCATCTTTCTAAATCGAACCCCCTCCTGTATGTGTCGGTGTCACTCTCCATTTCAAGAAAGGCTACGGGGACTTCGCAATGAATTTGAGTTTGGATTTTCCTACGTTGGGTCTCCTTACAAAGGGGCCAAATGTGCCCATGGGGAGTCTTCTTGGGAACAGTTCTCCTCTGCTGCAGAAGGCAGACTGTCTCATGCCGGGGGGCTTCCAGAATGCTCCTCGAGGTGGACAAGGCCTTGAAGGCAGGTAGCACAGGGATCAGAAGAAAGGCTTGGAGCCAGAGCGGGTCCCGCCTGTGACCAGCAGTGTGTCTTTGGCAAGTTACTCAACCTCTCTGAGCCTCATTTTTCTTCACCTGTACCACATGGATAATAGCTCCTGCCTAAAAACTTTGTTGTGATGTCTTTGCGCACATTTAGTGGTGCCATTTAATGGTGGCAGAGAGTCCGTGCTCAGTAATGACAGCTGCTTCACCATGATTACTGTGGTGACAATGACTTCCCGCGAGCCTGTCCCGGAGCCAAGCCGGCTGCCCGCGGCTTGGCCCGGCACGTCTACCGTGTTCCCGTAGTGGCAGATTGCACGGCTCCTGGGGGTGCAGGGGGTCCAAGGACAAGAATGTTTCTTATGTTTCTCTGAATCTTTGGAAACGCCTCAAATTTCTTGATTCCAGAGGTTCCCTGTAATCGCCAGTGGATTGTTCTGAGTTTTCTAAAGTGCAGACGCTTCCTTGGAAAGTGATGTGTTCAGGAGGACACGTGTATAAGCGTATTAGGTGCCATCCCACTGGCTCTGAGCTACGCCCGCCGATGAGAACATGACGGCGTGAACAGTCCCCGAGCAGTGGACCAGCAAAACCGCTAGCTGTTTGGATGGGAAGCCCCAGGGGAAACTTTCTCAGCAAAGTGGTCCCTCTTTCTCCTCGGGTCAGGCCAGCGTAAAAGTGAACGCAGTTGCCTATGTCCAAGGGGTGGGCAAAACTCCCGAGGAGTTGGTGGGGGTGGAGTTCCAGGTCCTGGATGCTTTGCCTTCAGGCAACAGAGGGTCGGCAGCGGTGGTCCTGACTTTCAGGGTGTGTAGCTTGCACTATGGGGAGGCAGGTCCTAAGGGCCCGAGAAATGGCTTTAAAGTGGGTGTCCTTCCGATGGACTCAAAAACAAACAGGGTTCTAGAGGGGAGGGGGGTGGGAGGATGGGTTAGCCTGGTGGTGGATATTGAGGAGGGCACATTCTGCATGGAGCACTGGGTGTTATGCACAAACAATGAATCATGGAACACTTCATCTAAAACTAATGATGTAATGTATGGGGATTAACATAAGAATAAAAAAAAATAAAAGAAATAAAGTGGGTGTCCTTCAAAGGTACTAGAGTACTAGCTTTACCTACAACTGCCCTGCCTCCCACCCCCAAAGAGTGACACAAAAGTGGCCCTGGTAAAGAAGGGATTGTAGGCGGGGAAAGGGCAAATAAAAGCTTTCTTTAAAAAATACAGATACAGAACTTGATTTCAGAGGAACTGAGTTGAAGCTGGGAGAGTGGAGGGGAAGGATGAGGGGGATGGGGTCTGGGGATGGGGCGAGCGCGTCTGCGCGAAGTACTGAAGGAGAGAAGGAAGGAAGAGTCCGGCCTAGACCAAAAGAGATAAGGGAGGGCGGAGAGGTAAGGAGGCCAGGGGGACCTGGCGGAGCAGGCCTCTCGCACACACAAGCACGCACACACACCCCAGCCGGGGTGTCTTGAAGAGTGACGGCAACCTCCCTGCATGCACGCAGACTTTCCAGTTGGCTGGCTTGCAGGCAGCTCCACCCCTGCACCCAATTTTCCTGATGCCAAATGCCACATTCATGCCACCCTTTATCTCCCCCCCGCCCCGCCTTTTAAGCTGGCTCCACGTGGGACTTGAACTCATGACCCTGAGATGGAGACTGAGCTGAGATCAAGAGCTGGACACCTTCTCATGCCTGGTGGGGGCCGGGGCTCGGAACACCTGCAGCTTCGCCTTCACGAGCAACGGTGAGGCTTCTAACTAGAATGTCATCGAAGCCCCTCTGGTCTTTTCCCTTGACCAAAGCGTCACTATTCTGAGCTTCCAGGCCTCAGGAAAAAGAACTGGCCGTGGCAAAGCGCCGACTCTGCGTAGAACTTCCTTTGTTTTGAAGGCTTTCTTACGAAGCCCTCACATCTCCCCCCAAGAGGTCTGCTAGGGCCAGTGGTATTAAGAGGTCTGTTTGAAGAGGCGAGATGCAGGGGGCACTCTTCCAGGACATTCTGGTGTCTTGAGAGTCAGATCTCTCGAATGGAGGACACAAGCTGTTGCTTGATCCGCAAACCTGCTCTTTGGAACTAGTCAGTTGTTCTTTACGGGTTACCGGAAAGCGAGTTCGTGCAACCTGTTTTCTGGACTTGACCTTTACTAAGTGACATACTACTAATTGACAGGTGGGGCAGGGAAGGCTTGTAGAGCCTCAGGGAGGAGAAGTGGAGGAGAAATATTCTCCCGCTGATTCCTGGGGCCTCACTGGCTCATTCAACAACCCCAGAGCCTTGCCTCAGCGCCGCCCACCACCTGCCGCCCACCACCTGTGATAAGGGCATTGGCCTGCCCCACCTCCGCCTCCGAGGGGAACGTGATCATCTCTGGTTGTGCAGCCTTCGAATGGCTCACTGCTGCAAGCCAACTGAAAAAGTCATAAGAAATAGCTTAAAAGTATTAATTGAATATGCTAAAGACAACCAGAACACTTTAGAATTAAGTTAGAAAGGAGATTAGTATGCCAGCTAAGAGGTGGAATGATCAATTTTTTTCTTTTTCTTTTTTCTTTTTTTTCGTGGCCTCAATTCTTTGATGGCACAGGAAGGAAGGTGGGCTTCCCCACCTGCCCTACCAGCCAGCACATTTCCGGAAGTAGGTCTGATAATTCCAGTGGTTTCTAGACTTGGTCTTCCATGGACAGTTTGGTAGGCGTCACTCTGCCTGCTTCCTCTTCTTTATAGAATATATGGAACAAATTGAGTTACTTTCGACCAGCTGCCAGGAAGGAGAACTTAGGGCTAAAGAAGAGTTCAATAAATATCTTAAATGGAAAAGACCGGAATTGGTGCAGGATATAAGCATACAGATTCTGGCACTTTCTATCCATGGACACGGTTATCAGTGTTCAAAGATCAGCTGGAGGACCTGGGATCTGGGAGCCACCTGTTCTGCCTCTAAAGCTCTGCGGGAGCTTGGTATATTTCGTCGTGGTCCTGGCCTGTCTCTCCCTCTGCGACCCTTGGACAACGTGACCCACTAGAAGATGCGCTGGGGCCTCTAAGTGCTGTGGGTCACACTCTGGGGACCACTGTGATGAAGCAGCAGGCGAGACCTTCTGTGAACGGACCCACAGCTCATCTCTGGGTCCGAGGTGGTTAAAGGGTCCCTGCTGAGGCCAGATGTGGCCTGTGTCAGATACGTGGCATGTGTCCCATCCTACCACATGGCTGTGGGGGCCGTGGACGTTCAAGAGCTCTGTGTTGGTGATGATGGCAGAAACCAAAGGGACAGCAAAGGACCTCAGAAGGTACAATTCGTTTCATGGTCCTGCAGGCTCTTTCCAAGAGAAATAATGGCTGTGATCATTTTTTAAAGGGTTGGCTGCTTACAACAGAAGTGTGCTTGTGCTTGGAGCTGGAATTTATTTCTCCCTCACCAGTGGCCTGGGATGCCTGGCGAAACGAAATCTCAGAAGGCTACGACTAGGCAATGGTGGGTCTAAAAATACCATCGAGGGGTCCATTAGCAGGGCACTGCAGAGAGTGGGCACGTGGCTCCCCTGGCTGGACGACAATGTTAATCTGATGACCACTGTGGGATTCGGTCTTCCCTTGCCAGGTGGGAAAAAACCATGCTTCCATTTCAGGATCAGGCCCCAGGCTGCCTGCACGCTAGAGTAAGCCCTTTACTACAAAGCCTTTTAATTTTGGATGATTTACCAGGAAGAACTGTATTTGCCAATGTTGGGTCAGGAATCCCCAATTGATCATTCCACCACATCATGAAGACATTAGTAACCACAGCCAAAGTGCAAGGGCTCAGACTCACCCGGTTTCCTTTGTCTCCGGGTGGTCCATGTAAACCCTGCAATAAGTCACAGAAATGAAGACACGTTCACGAGAAAGGACAGGAGGGCCGTCCAGGCCTTCCTTCCAGGCTCAGAAAGGTCTGATGCCTAATTCCTCAGAGACAGGCTTAATTATCCCCGTTTTACAGAAGAGGACAAAGGGACTTGACCTCTAGACACATAATGAGTTATGGGCGCTCGCTCTGCAGCTGAGGCCCTGGCCTGTGGCCCTGTTCTTCCAGCTCACTCCTCCCGACAGGTGGCAGGTGCTGAGGACACGGTCTGTGTGCAGAGCAACTCTCCCGGCAGAAGAGGTGTTTGCATGGCTCTCCCGCCAGACTCTTGCCAGAAAAGTGACCCCAAAGCTGCTCTTTTCAAGGTATAGGCTGTCCTCCATGACTTCAGCTAGGGAAGCAGCACCAGGCAAAGACTGGCTGGGGTTGGCCGGAGCAAAGTTGCTTGGGCAGCCACACATGGAGCTGGTGAACAGATGTACAACCTTCAAGTGGAAACAGTGGTCCTGGCTGTCTTAGGCCATCCACTTTTACAACAACACAGCAGGAAAACTGGGGAGGCAGTCCTGTCATGAAACATCTCCTTCTTGCATTATAATGATCTGGCTTTGCTTCTGCCCTTCCTCGATGGCCGTGCACATTCATCTGAGAGAACCCCCCCCGCCGCATCCCTTCAGATGGTCCATGTGGCTGAGGACCTGGTACCCCAACAGGGCCCACGTGTGCCCAGGTTTGCCTCGAGCAGTGCCCAGCAGGGAAGTTCCACGACCACGTGGCTTTTGGCAGCTTCCTCTGTCATAGAAATCAGCATTCTCACTCGGCTCTGGATGTTTGCTCCAGGCTCTGGGCAGTCTGCCCTGGCAGGGCTTCGGCCGGGGGATAGCGATGGGGGACAGAAAGCTCCAGTCGCATGACACTTACAGGAAGCCCAGCTGCTCCTGTTGGTCCTGTCATCCCCAGGTCACCTTTGCTGCCCTGAAACAGGAGAAAGAAACCCATGAGCTCCCCCTGATGTGGGAACCACCTTCCACCCACCGTTTTCTGTTTCTGTAGGAAACCCCGGGAACCTCTCCGGTCCCTTCAAAGAGCCCTCTACAAAGCAAGGGCTCAGCGGAGGGTGTGACTGGTGTGGACCCCACCATGGCGGGGGGCTTGGAGGCCCCCCTCCCTCCAGCGGAGCCCATTCCCCAAGGCCCTCTGGAAAGACTGGACAGTGCCCTGAAGCTACTGGCTGGCCTCAAGCAGAAGCCGAGAGGGAAACAAGGAGCAGGAAATGAGCATGGACAGAGAAGAGGGGGGAGAGAGAAAAAGAGCTTTGCTTTCTTCTTTGAGGCCACAACTGTCACCTCTGAAAGCAGCCATCCTGGTCCCCAAAGTGGCTGTGATCTCGGGGAGGGACGTCTATGTCCCTCTTCAGAAGCTCCCCACCCTCTACACCCCCAGCTGTGTGGTCAGTGAGCGCAGGGGACGGAGCCTCCCCTGCGGCAAAAGGTCCACAGATGCCCGCACAGGGTCTAGCGCCCCCACAGCCCTCTGGTGATCTCCCGCCCCAAATGTGCGGAACCTGGGGCCTGGCTGGGAAGAGCGGACCCGGATGGGATGGGCGGCCCTCCTCCTCCCCTGAGCCAAGTCCCCCAGCAGCACCACACACGCGCCCACTCCATGGGAGACAGTGACTGTGGGAGCTGGCCTAACGTCCTGGCCTCCTGACTTCTTGGTGTTGCCCGGGATTTTCTTACACTACCTGGCACTCCGTTCCATGCTGTCTCCCTAAATCATCACAAAGCTTAGGTGTGTCTGCTCCCGGCAGCACCTGGGGCCCAGCCAGACGGAGCCTATGACCAACGCCAGGTGACCAGGAGCCGGGCACAGGAAGCTGTCCGTCTGTCCGCTCATAGCGATAAAGTGGGCAACTCAGGCCGGCCGGCTCCCCCACAGGCTATTGTGAGGGTCACCGGGCGAGGCCACGGATAAGGTGCTCGCTGGGCTGGGGGGACGGGTTGGGACCGAGGACCTGCGGCTGGGCAGGGGCGCTGGAACCCTCCCGGTGTGCAGGGTCTCTGGCGACTGAGCACTCACCCTCTCGCCCTTTGGTCCCGCTGGGCCTGGGACTCCGATTGGTCCTGGAGTACCCTGGGGGAGGTGAAAGAAAGCAAAGGTGAGGGGCCTGATGTCGGTGGGGAGCCCCGGGAGGCCCGCCCGGCACCGGAGATGAGCAAGGTCCAAAGGCCCATTTTCAGGGTTGGCGAGGCCAGGCTCGTTCAAGGCAGTCATTGGACTGGGGCGTCTTCCTGTTTGGGGCGGGGGCCTCGGGCAGAGAGGTCTCCCCCTGCCTCAGAGCCAGATTTGAGGAGGGAAACCCTTTTGCTTTCCCACCAAGCTTGCCAAGGCTGAAAACGGTAGGAGAACTGCTGCTTCCTTTGCTCCCTGAAGCGCTTGGCGGGGAGTGGGGGGGGCCATCGGGGTGGGGGCAGGGGCCGGCACCTGTTTGCTGTTGCAGCTGCACATGCAGGGGGGGGTCATGCCACAGAGACTGATGCAGATGCACACACACAGAGGCAGGCGCGGGGGGTCATTCAGCCACCGCTCACCCCACCCGCCCCACCGCGGGCCACCCTGGCCTCCAGCCTCTGTCCCCGCGCCGTGGCCCTACGGGGCAGGCCGGACCGGAGAGTGATGGGTGCGCTTCCGGTGTCTGTGGGGGCACTGGCCTGGCAGCGAGGGGGGTCCCACCGCTCCGGACTCCGGGCTCCGGGGGAGTCGGGGCAGCTGGAGCCTTGGGCTTAGAGGCGGGGCGGGGCTGGCCATGGCACACTTAAGCACCTTTCCCAGGTCCCCATTGTCCACCCCGACTAGAAGGAGGTCTATATTTCAGGTCTATATTGCTCTGCCTCCGTGTTTAGGCTTCCTGCTCAGACGAGGCCCTGCGGATGTGGGGCTGGCAGGTGGGCAGTTCCCGGTGCTGCCCCGGGCTCGAGCAAGTGGGGAAACACTGATTTATGTTATGAGAAAAAAAAAGAAAGAGCCATGAGATGTCCTCCGTGCCCCCTCTGCAGCTACGAGGGAAGACTATGGGGTGTCAGAAATGCGAGCGGCCTGATCAGGGTCATGGCTGAGGACAAGTCCAGCCTCGAAGGCCTATCAATGCTGAGATATTGGAGAAGCTTCTTGGCTTCCTGACGGTCCGTTTCCCTCCCCTGTAAAAGGGGGATGATGACATGAGTGTTTGCTTTCGGGGCCGCTGCCCGGCTGAAATGGATGAACGCACCTCACGCCTTTGGCACTGGTAAATGTTAGTATTCGCAGGGCAGGGTTATTCCTCCCATAAAACTTTTCCTTTAAGGTTGTGATGTTGATTTAATGAGAAAAATACAACCTGAGGTCCAAAGGGGACAGAATCTATGACTTTGCCCTGCTCCCCTCTGTCCAGCAAGAATGGAGGACAGTTTTGGATTCTCTGATTCCAGCCACAGATCATCCCCCTAGCCCTGACCGGCCACCTGGGGAAGGCACGCTAGGTGTGAGGAGGGTGCATAGGGATGGACTCGGGCAGGGGGGGGAGCACAGCCCAGAACAGAGGTCTAGTCTCTGAATGGGAGAATCTACAGTGTCGCCTCCACAGACGCGTGGTGGGGAGGGGCTCTGGAAAGGATGTGGCCTTGGGCAAGGCCCGTCACCTCCTGTGCTTTCTGAAGGCACATGCCATAGGATGAGGCTCTGAGTGGGGCTGCTCTTGGTCCTCCCCCTCTCAAAGCTCTAGGCTCCCATTGGCATCAGTTGTGGATCCTCTCCGCCTCTAGGCCTGTCCTCCCCTCCATAAGCGGAACCTTCCAAATTCATCTTCCCCCCGAGTGTCATCCCAGCCAGCTCCTTAGAACCTTGTCGTCTGGGCCTAAGACTGTCCCACAAGGGCCAAGCTGGGACTCCCTGGCTGGTGGGGGCTGAGCATACACACCGCTCTGGTTATGGCTCGTGGGCAGGGAAGTCCAGCCGCCTGGCCCTGGATGGTCAGGGATCCCTAGACCCTGGGAAGGTGCCAGGCTTCAGTGGGAATGCCACTTCCCTAAAGACCTCACGAGGCATTCTGGGAGGGGCCTGGAAGGTGGACAGGAGAGGAGAGACTCTTTTGCTGATGCTTCAGTTGTTTGTCACCAGAAGAAGGGCCAGGTGCTTTCTAGTCATGAGTAGGTGATGCCTGTTTTCTGGAATCAGAAAGAATGGAGAAAGAGGGGACCCAAGTGTTCCTCCTTTGCTCTGCATAAACCCCTTGTTGAGTTGCGGGGCAGCCGGGGCACCACAGGAAGCAGGGTCACGTGCCCGCAGAGCACCGAGCTGGGACCGTCCCATATGATCCTAGATACTACACCCGGCCTCACCCCAGTACATACCAGAGGGGGCTGCACAGGACTAGGAAGCCCTTGTGGGCAGACAGGAGATGGACAGAGCTCACAGCATGAAGACAACACAGCACGACGGGTACATACAGACACTGTTGTGCTTGGTGGGCACGAGTTGTGGTCCCAGCCCCTGGGGCTGGGCTCCCAGGCCTCACTCAGCCCATGTCCAGCGGTCAGGAGACCCAGATTTGAGGACCCTGGGTCCATACGATGGCCAGGGGAATTCAGAGGAAGGCCACCCATCTTTGGTCAAGAGGCCTGAAGAAGTATTTCTGAACTGGGCATAGATGGTACATTTCTGGCGTTGGTGATGGGATAAGGCAGGACTCACTGGGAAAACGAGGCCACAGCGGGACAGGGACAGACAAGAGGGGTCACAGGCCGGGGGAGGGGTGGGGCGGGCTGAGGGGTAACGGAGAAGTGACACTCACCGGTGGCCCAGGCCTGCCGTCCAAACCTGAAGCTCCCTGGATGAAGGGAACATGTTTGACCGAAAGAAGGGGAGGGGAGGAACGGGAGGGAGAAAAAGGGGCCGGGGGAGGGAAGAGGTGAGTGAAGCCGTGACTCCGGACAGACACAAATGCTGGTCATCAAACAACACGGGAGAAATAAGCTTGGGAGGACAGGTGATGGTATTCACACGGAAACCAACAAAAACGGACACCGAGTGGCAGTGTGGCCGGCTGCCGAGGAGGCCTGTGGCGAGCAGTGCAGATGGCCCTTCTCATCCTCTGTGCCCCCTGCCCCCCTTTCTCCTGGTAGCGCCTCCCAGAAATCCCTCTGCCAAGGGGTTGCAGTGCTCTGGGGAAAGGGATGCAGAAAGAGAATTCATGGAAAGGTGTCTGGAACCAGAGGGAGGGCCTCCTTCCCAGGACGGGTCTCCCTGCAGCGGGACAAGCCTATGTGAAGGGTGGGTTGTCTTCCCAGCCTTTTTTTGCACGGCTGTGGAGACGGGCCAGGCTGAGGAACCCCGAGGAAATCAGTATTGAGTTATAGCACCTGGCTTGGGAACGTGGGTAGAAGCTGGCCTGCTTCTGCTCTGGGGGTGGCAGGGGGGAAGGCCCTCGGATGTTAGTCCTCCCGATGCCTGACCTTTCTCTGGCACTGCGTGGTTTGCAAAGCTCAGCAAAAACGCAATCCATTCCTATTCTCCCAGACAGGGGCCCTTTTAGAGAAAGAGGCTTTGGGGGCAGCTGACTGGGACAGAGGTCTAAGGCCACGTATGCCCTGGAGTAAACTGGCTGGCGGGTGGGATGCTAAGACCCACTTGCTATGCAGCATCCAGTGATACATGAGGTGCGAGTAGGTGCTCTTGCTCCAAAGCTGGGCTGGGAAGCTGCCCCCAAGACACACTTAGGAGACCCAGAGGGAAATTTATCTAATGATTGCCATGCGACAAACCAGAGAGAAGGCAGTGGGGACACTCTAGCCCAGTAAGGACTGAGTTCTTAAAAACGGCTACCAGCTGAGCCTCAAGAAATGAGCCTAGGCTTCAGGATTTTAAAGGTGGGGGAATGCCCCCAGGCAAGGGAGGACAGGGAAAAAGGTGTTGGGTAGTAGGATCCTCCAGGGCCTCCCTTCTCAGATTTAGGATCACAAACTTCTGGGATGATCCTGACTCATGGCCTAGAGAGCTGAGGTTCTCCACCCCACGGCATCATCAGCATTTCCTGAGGGGAGAGGGGGAGCGTAAAATAATAGAGATGCTTGGGCCCTCCCCCACCCCAATTCAACCAGAGTCTCCAAGAGTGAGGCCAGGGTAATGACTTGTTTGAAAAGCTCCAGGCAACTCCAGTGTGTAGCCAGCACTGAGAACCACTTCCATAGGGCCAACAGGAAGAATTCCATAGGATGTTCTGGAAAAACAGGCTGCTACTCTATGGCATAAACTATGGAGGTGAAGCTGAAAATCAGAACTTCAACTAAATATCCACAAACTTTGTCTACGCAGTACCAATACCAAGTTATCTTGAGACATCTGGAGCAGGGGCACGGACTGGTGGTTTTCAGGCCATGTGCAGGCCACTGACATATTTGGTTTGGTCTGCGGAGTTGCAAGTAATTTTGATTTAATGTTAGAAAATGGGGAGATTTCACATAAAATGCCAGATGTCCAGCTTCCTTGGAAAAATGAGACCATCTGGAAGTACTGGGCCCTCATTCCCCCCAGACGACAGCTGAACAGAGGAGGGACTGCTCTCCTTAAGAAGGGATGCATGGCCTCCAGCATGCCCCAGTCCCCACCACTCCCTCTTGCCTCTCTGAAGTCCCCATTCGTTGCCATATGTGGAGATGCTGTGTTGTTTTCTTAAGCTAGCAAAAGTATTTCTCTGTACCCATGTCTCTACTGAAAGTTGACAACTTAAAGACAGACTGGGCACTTTTGTCTTTCCTCTGGCATTTTCTTTGTTTATATAACTTGTTTGGTCTCTGCGCCATTTGCATTTCGACCCCAGACTAAATTCTCCAGTATGCACGAGGGCCTTGGGGCCCTGAAGGTGGACAAGGGGAGATTTGTGGTTGAGTGCGGGCAGGAAGGCTCTTTTCTAGTGAGGAGTACTTAAACATTCTGGACACAGCTGAAGACATGGGAAAATGTCTGTTAAAGTCATCAGTTCCCTGTAGTCTGTCAGGCACATCAGCTCCTTACATGTCCTACCTCTGATGCACTAATGAGGGTGTAATCATACCTATTGATTTTGCTGTTTGGTTGCTGTGATTATATTAACCAGACCTTCAAGCTCTGCCAAGCTGGGGTAATTGGGCTTCTCTTTGTTCTTCTGCTCTTTATGGCTTCCCAGGGTGGGAACTGGCCTCGTGCCCAGGACAGAGGAAGCCCCAGTGGCTGGAAAGAGCCCCTTTGCAAGGCGATGGCCTCAGCAAAGGAGCGGCCTCTGGCATGGCCTAACCACTGACTTCATATGTGACCTCAAGTGACTCTCTCTTCTCTGGGCCCATCAGTAAAATGAGTAGATGGATCCGTGACGTCCATTCCAGCTTCCGAAAACCAAGCCACAAAGAGTGTCAGCCCCACTGGGGGGTGAGGGAGGAGGAAGCCCAGGGCTCCAGGGTGGGTGGTAGAGGGCATGCACCTGGACATAGGGGAGGCAGTGATGAGGCCAGGAGCCCACTGGAGCTTGGGGCAAAAGATTCGCCCAGGCCAGGCCCCCACATCTGGAAATGTAGATGCCTCCCGAGCAGCACCTCGCCCCCACCTGGGGTCTGATCTCAGGGCAGGCTGAGATGAGAGATCTGAGTGGCCTTAGCCTGCTGGGACCAGAGAATCTGCCTTTGTACAAGCTTTTCTGCTGTAGCCAGTGCTGAAGATAGGGAAATAGGTGAGAGTTGGAGAACATTTCACCATCTTGTTGCTCCCAGGTTCTCCAAGCTTGGCTCCCATTAAGGGCAGATTTTTATTGCCTCCGAATCAGGCACATGTAGGGCCTGAGGCTGTTCTCAGGCCACTTGAGGCTCTCCAGCTGGGGGCTCCTTGGGTAGGGGGCCCTGTCTTATTTAGCTCTGCATTACCTCCGACACCCAGGTCGGGACCTGGCCCAGAGGAAGCCCTCGGGAAGGGAACTAGAGTCTATAGTCTTGCCCAGGTAGGAAAGCAAAACCACATGGCATGTTCTGGAATGCTCAGAACTTTAGAACCCCCAGTTTTGCAGAGCCTTCTCCCAGGGTCCTGCACGCCACCCCAGCCTCCTCAGGACCACCCAGCTAGGCTCCTCACAGGCTTGCTGGCTCTGAGATACTTACGGGTAATCCCAGCGGCCCTCGATCTCCTTTCTCTCCCTGGACACCCTTCTCTCCTTTTGCTCCATCTAGTCCTGCTTCCCCCTGAAGGAAAGGGAGGGGGGAGATCACACAAGGGTATGTCTCAGACAACTCGTTCTTGCATCCTGGGATCCTGGAGATAGGGGTGGGTTGGGGAGATGGGGGCAGGTAGAGGATGGAGGAAGGAGGGGGCAGAGGTGGCTGGCCCACGGATGGAGACTCTAAGAATCCTTGAATTCCTAGCCTGGTTCTACCTCCATTAGACTCCTCAGTATCCCTGTGGTAACTGTGAGGTCCCCAAAGGAAAAGGGGATGGGTGGAGCAGAGAAAGACCCACAGGGCAGTTCTAGGTCAGGCTGGGGCAGAAGTGACCGTTTGCAGAGCAGGAAAACTGGGGCCCTGCAGAGATTGGCTGGCAGGTGCCTGGAATGCCAGCATGGGAGATTGGCTGGCAGGTGCCTGGAATGCCAGCATGGGAGCTCTGAGGCTCCCCAACTAATTGGGACAAAAAATTGCCCAACAGTCTCTTGAGGAATATTGGGGGGCACGGGACAATATGCCATCAGTCCTAAGGCCCTCTTACCCAGCTGAAATGCTTTTGAAGGGGGAGATTGGGAGACCCCCCCCAGGCCAGAGACCAATGGGCTTGGACCCATGGAGGGGGCCCACACTACACCCCTCCCTGTCTCCACCCTACTTCAGGGTGAGTGAAAGGTCTGGGGCAGGTTACTTGGAAAAGGATTTCCTCCTTTGCTAAGAATCCAACCCGTTACTCATAGGGTGGATTAATGGATGGGAAAATTCTAAATCGGAAGCCTGCCCAGTGTCAATGATGGATGGTAAAAGGACTTCATTCTCTCCTGGTTGTAGCCACTGGCCAGTGTCAACACGATTCCATTTAGGGAAGGGACTGGCTGAGCCACCCGTCTCCGAAGGACTTTCCTTCTTTTCGGCCCTCTCTGACACTGCCCCTTCCCTCCCCCGCCAGCACCTGTCACATGACCTCTTCTTACCTTTGGTCCAGGAACACCTTGGAGCCCCTGCGTTTGGAATCAAAACAAGGCACATCAGAAATGCATTTCTAGGTAAGTCAAAAACACCTCGTCCGCAAGTTGGACCACAAAAGCGCAAGGGCCTGGGGTCCCTGCCCAGGGGAAGTGGAGGGAATGCTAAGGGGGTTTGTGCTTGGGGCTCCCTCGGGTGGAGTCTGAGCCAGGCCTCCCCAACCAGGGACTGACTGTGTCTCTGTGACCCCCACAGCTGACCTAGAGCCTCATGAAAGGAAGATGCAGAAGGAACACAGCAAAGGTTGATTAGATTTATGGATGCGAAGTGCTTGGAGCAATGTCGGGCACGTAAGAAGTCTCGGTAAATGCTGGCTGCCATTGTTCTTACTACTACTTCTGCCAATGACAATGGGTGACACAGTGCCATGGGCCTGGGAACCCTGCAAAGGAAGGACCAGCCTCTATTGGTTTAGGATGCTTAGGGGCCCTATAAAAGCCCCATCTTTTCACCTGTCACCTGGAAAGGCCAATCCAGTGGGGCTGGTTTTACATCACTTTCCATCTTAATCCAGATGTTTTTGCTGCTGGTTAGCAGGAAGGAGGAAGGGGGAGAGCAGGCATCTGACAGCAAAGGGCAGAGCTTAGTGACAGAGGGACTCCTGCGGGGTGGTGGAACCAGACCCCGCGGCTGCCATGCCAGTCAACTGTTTCCAGGAGAGCCGGCAATGCCCAGTCTCTTTGGTGTCATTGACATGGTGCCGGTTTAACATGGGAGGGCAAAGGAGTAGGGAGGGGCTCGTGGATGAGAAAATCCCACCCTGGGAGGAAGAGGTGACAGCAACTGCCAGGGGGGAGGGGATGGTAGGGACCCAGTCACAGTGGGCTGAAATGCTGACAAGCCCTCCCCACTTACCGGAGGTCCGGGGGGCCCCTCTGGCCCTGGAGGCCCAGAAACCTAGAATCCAAAGGGAGATGGTTAGCCCACCCCCTGTTACATTCCAAGTGGCTTCCCCTTCTGACATGGTCCACGGTCCAAGCCAGAGGGGGACAGAACTGCCCAGCATGTGGTCTCCCCAAAGAAGGCTGAGAACAGGGCAGAAACTCATAGCAACTCATTAACCTGCACAATGTTGGAAAAAAAAACCAACAAAACCCCACATATTGCCAGGAAATGCTGTCAAAAAGTCTAGACTTCCAGATTTTCTTGAAAAAAAAAAAAGAAAGAAAGAAAAGAGAAAAACCTGGCAGCAGTAGGCCCTTGTTCATGCATGGCCATAATTGCCTGGAACTGAATAAAACCTTTCCCCTCCAGGTGGGGCATGAAATCTTTAGATTACCCCAGTCCCCACCACTCCCTATTGTCTGTGACCTGGAACTTTGCATTCATTTGTTGTGTGCCTGGCATTTGAACTTGAGACCTTTGGCTTACAGGAGCAGAGATTGGTTCTATGGAATGGGGGGAGGCTGAGCAGCTTTTGAAAATGTCCCTCAAGTTCCCTAGGGTTTGTAACAGAGACTGCTGGTCTCTGCTTCCCTTTAATTAAAGGCAGGAGGGAGGCAAGAGGGAGACCTGCCTGCTTCTTTCTGAGCTGGTCACCCCATCTCAACTTTGGGGCTCTTCTTGCCTTCTCGGGGTTCGAATCTCACAGAGTATGGCCAGAGTGGTGACCCCTCTGTCAGGCCACCAAAGAGGAGCCCCTGAACTTGGGCAGGCCGGGTCCCTCTCATGTCTCTCGGATCCATGGACTTCTCAGCTCAATCTCTGGAAACTCCATATTCTTTTCTTAAAAAGTTCACTGCTTTCTTTCTCTATTATAAATAAGTGATTCATGTATCCTGATTGTGGTGGTAGCTACACAGACCTACGAATGTATTAAATAAAATTCACAGACCTATACACCCCCCCCCCAAAAGTCAATTTTACTGTACGGTAATTTTGAAAATAAAAAAACTTAAAGTAATAACAGACCCATTAAAATATTTTGTAAATTACAGGGAATTGAAAGAATGGAAAGAATAAGTACGTGAATACTCCTAATATTCTGCTTTACTTCCTTCCACTCTTTTTTTGATGCATAAAATGTACATAAATATATGTCCATGCTTAACAATGATTTTTTATATATAATTTGATTCTCTGCTGTTTTGCATTTAACCCAAAACCCGGTTTTCTACTTTTTTTTTTTTTTTGCATGTTCCGCACAAGCCTCCTTTCCATGTCTTGACTGAGCGGCACAAAATGAGTTACTCCCCGGCTAGGGCCTGGAGCCCGGCTTGGCACAAGGAACGCTCCCAAACACAGGGACTATTATACCATTAGTATGATTACCATAAGTTATTGAATCATTTCCTTCTTGTTAGAAACGTAGCCTGTTTCCAATTTTTACTTCCTTCTGGAAGGAACATTTCTGTGTGTGTAGTGCTTTTCCTGAATCTCGGAGCATTTTATCAGGAGGCCATCCGTCTCCAACTCAGGAACATACCATCTCATCAAGTTCGCTTCCCTGAGTGTGGGCGGGCCCTGGTGACACTGAAGGTGACCTCTCCGGGGCTGTACAGCCTTGGTGGTCCCTCCCCTGGCTCTGTCTGTGTGGCACAGGAACTCCCACCAAGCATCCTCTCCCTCACGTGATGCTGAACTCTGTTGCTTTCTGGGCTCTTTCCCTGATATGCCCCAAATATGCCTGATTCTCTCTCATCTTATGAGAACCTGGCCTCCATCCCCAGGACCTCTCTCCCCACTGCTCTCTCCTCTTCCCTTCACCACCACACCTCGCAGAGTAGAATGCATCTCTCTGGAAAGCTTACTTCTCGAGCTTCCAGGCAAACTCCTACACAGTCCTTAAGATCCTGCTCAAAGGACCCATCTTCTAGGATGCTCACCCAGCTCCTGGAACGGCTCACCATTCTAGCGCTTGCTGCTGGGGACCGTTCACTGCACAGAGGAGGTTCTGTTTCTTTTCCTACCTCCAGACTCTAGCACTGGGAAGGAAACACAGCGGGGGCTCTGTGAACACCAGTGGGGGGACTGCACCCCGGGGCTCCGAGGCCGGGCTACCGAGCTCAGTGAATGTTCGGCTTCTTGCTTGTTCCCCATGTCAGGCACCTGTGCCTTTCCTTCTAGAGCACGGAAATGCAGGGCATCCTGGAAGGACTGGGGGCTGACGAGGTCCCTGTCAAATACCCCCCATGACACAGAAGGCCAAGCCGCACAACCTACCTCTACTCCTGGCTCCCCCTTCTCCCCGGGCTCTCCTTTCTCTCCCTGTGGGCACAAAACACCATACGCTGTGGGTGCTGGCACTCGGGGGCGCTGGGCACAGGGACACCCTCACATCTGTGACAAACTAGACCGGGACTAGACGAGGCCGAGGTGTCGTCAAGGACCACCTCGGAGGGTGAGGGGACAGTCAGCCTGCAGTATGAAGACTGGGCAGGGGGCCCAAGATTACAGTCTTCGGGGATCTGAGGTCCCAGTACGTGGGAGGAGAGGCTGATATCATGTGTGGACCCTGCGGTGATCTGTGACCTGTTTCTAACCAATAGAATATGTCTTATGGCCCAGGTGATGGGATGTCACTCCTGTGATAATGTTACAGGCTCATGTTACAAATTATAACGTGCCTACGTTCAGGTTATCTCACTCTCACACACACACACACACACACACACACACACACACACACAAAGAGAGCCCTGTGTTGGCCGCAGGCACTGACAGAGACTCTGGCTGGCCTTGGCCTTGAACAAGCAAGCTGCTCTAATGTGAACTGCCTGCCGTGGGCAAGAGCCTGTGGCCGGGAACCGTGGGCAGCCCCTAGGAGCTGAGGGCCGCCGTCCGGCTGTGGCAAGGCACCAACTTACGCTGACAGTGGCGAGCCTGGAAGAGAATGAGCATGTAGACCAGTGGCTTGACCACAGCCTCGTGAGAGCCCCCGGGCAGAGGACCCGGTGGAGGCGAGCCTGGACTCCTGACCCCCAGACACTGAGATCAGAAGTGCGCATTGTTTTCAGCCGCTGAATTTGTGATTCGTTACGCAGCTACAGAAATGACTCTGGCTCTAGGTGCAGGGCGAGGGCCAGGGGTGGGCGGTTGATGAGGAAGCTTCCGCACCACATCCAGGAGCAGTCCCTGCAGCCTGGAGCTGCTCCGCGGTGGAGGGGACACGTCAGGAGTCTGGGAGTTGCCTGCCTGTCCCAGCTGAGTCGGGCAGCCTTGGGGAGTAGCTCCCGAGGTCACAGGTGGGACTGTTTGACCTCTGAGGTTTTTTATACTTCTAAGAGGAGAATTCTGAGTCTAAGACTCTAGCACTTTCGAGCCAGGCTGGTGCCTGAAGGCAGAGGCCACCGTGCTGTGACCTGAGAAGTGGGAACCGGTATTCACACTCCAGTGGTCTGCACGGAGTAGATGTTCATTGAGAGGACCCGCCAGCGCCCCCCACCCCAACAAAAGGCCAGGCAGGCGGGGGTTAGTGCAGCCTCGTTGCAGGCCAGGCATCCGCTAGGCTGGTGACCACTGTGAGGGGCACCCTCGCTCGCATGCCCTCATCCACAGTGGCCTGCTGACAACCTCGATACCCCACCCTCTCGCCTTACTGTAAATCCCGGGAGCCCGGTAGGGCCGGGCAATCCTGTTGCTCCGGGTCTCCCTTGGCCACCTGGTTCTCCTTTCTCCCCAGTTGGGCCGTCTAGACCCTACAGATTGACAAAGATCTCTGTTAGTCAAGAGCGAGGGCATCGCTTGAACATCTGTGACCAACTGTGGCATGCACTCCCTTCCTTCAAGGGCAGGGGTCTAGGGTGGTGCCCATTTCACAGAAGAAAACCACTGATGCACATGGAAGACGCCCGGGTCAAGTCAGCAGCCTCGTCGGGCTGGGCAAGGTGCTTTCTCTGTACAGGCGGCCTCCCCTGGGTGTCGGGCTTCTGCATGCTTGCCAAAGACGCAGGATGACACCCATGACCTCATCACCTTCCCAACAACCCAGGGAAGTATCCAGGGAGGGCATGATTAGCCCCATTTTAGAGATGAGAAAACAGAGGTCCTGCAAGCCTCAAGGACTTTCCCAAAGACACAGGAGATGACAGAATAGGCCCCTTCTCTTTTGGGGGGGAGGTGGGCAACTGGCCTTCATAAAGCCAGGGGCTTGAGGGAAACCCAGGGGAGTCCCCGGCCCCCAAACTCCGGACCCCAGGTTTCCAGCCTGGGCTACAGAAGCCATGCTGGGCGTGGTGCCCCCACGCAGGCAGGCATGCGTCCCAGGGTAGGGTCCTGGCCGGCCCGCCCTGGCACTCACCGGTGGGCCCGCCTGTCCTGTCTCCCCTTTCTCCCCCTTCTCTCCTGGGCTCCCCGGGTGTCCGTGTTCTCCCTTCATTCCTGTAGGTCCAAACTTTCCTGGGGGGCCTTGGGGACCGGGAGGGCCCATGTCTCCTGGCTTGCCTCGAGGTCCCTTTAGAAGATATTAGCAACATTTATTATAGACACTGATGGAGGGGGTAGAGAGAGAGAGCACGAAAGAATGGGAAGTCCAAAGGACATGGCTCTTCTGTGCTTGACTGGCCCAGGCGAAGAGCCTGTCCACCTCCCTCGGAATCGGAGAAACCTCAGCACCAGCCCCAGCCCGTCCCAACTAGGTCTTCCTGGCTCCTCTGGGGCCAGCATGTGGGGCTCAGGCTCCTGCAGGATTGGCCCCCACACGCCCCCACTCCCTTCCCCACAAGGCTCACATCTGGGCCTCTTCCAGAGCCTTTGGCTCCCACCGCCCACCGTCCCCCAGCAGCCCAGGTCAAGGTCCCTCTTCGGACACTCATCCAGGGCATCTGTTCTTACCTTTTCCCCATCGTGTCCTGGAGGGCCTGGAAGTCCGATCTCCCCCTGTGGCCGGAACAAGAGAAGGTCAGTGTCAGAGCAGGGAAGAGGCACTGTCATTTACGGCACGCTGCGTCAGTGCCAGGGTCACCCCGGAGCTCTGTACTTGCACTGCCTCCATTTCAAGGAGAGGACCCCAGGGCAGAGCTGTGCGCATGAGGCCTGGGGTGTGCGCAGCAGGCAGCTAGGTCCTGGCTCCGCAGGCCACGTGTTGGCCACAATCTTGCACGCTGCCTCTGAGCACCCTGGGTACCCCAGGCTCCCAGCCCAGCCCTCCTGTCCTGCCCGCCCCACAGGGAGCTCCCTGCATCTTCACATCAACCCAGTCCCTTTCTTTAGGTCAGGGAGGGAGATAAAAGAGGCCTGGCCTCTGTCTTTGAGGCCAGTGAAGAATGAGCCACATCACCAAGGCATAACGATGCTATGAGAGGAGCAGAGAGGAAGGGGCAGTGAATTCTGCCTGGTAGATCAGGGGAGCCTTCAAGGAGGAGGTGGCCTTGGAGTTGGGCTTGAAATATGAGGACTTGGAAAGGTAGGGAAGAGGGGAAGGAACTTCAGGGCAGGGGCCCTCATGAGCAGAGGACAGAGGTGCAAACATGCAGGGCTTTCTGAGAAAATCACGCGGGTGAGGCAGAGTCTAAAGGGGAGCAAAGGTGGGGAGCAAAGGAGGGGGGAGGTCGGGGAGGAGCTCAAGTGCCGTGTTCCCTGATGGGGGGCTCGGGGTCCCCTCGTGATTCTGTCCGGAGCAGTGGCTTGTCTAGACCCAAGCTCTACCACAGAACAGAAGCCTGTGAATTACGGGAGCCCAAGTCAGACAGCAGGGAAGAATGGCAGAGTGAGGTGGCAGGAGTGGGGGTGGCTGTCATGGGGGCAAGACAGGGCCTGGGGTGCCTGGGAGCAGTGGGAGGAGTCAGAGGCCAGGCTGCAGTGGTGGCTCCGCAGGGAAGATGGGAGGGTCCCCCGCTGGCTCCCGCACTCGGGGACACAGGCAGTGCCTCTGTGGGGTCTGCATCTCCCTTGTCAGGACAAGTGTTACCTTCTGGCCTGGGGCTCCGGGTGGGCCGATTTGTCCGGGAAGACCAGGGGGCCCCTAGGAAATAAAAGAAAGACCTGTGGAAGAACTTTCCACCCAAGGAGGGGTGGTCTGTTGCCAGGGGGATGTATGGGGAGGCTAGTTTATGGGGATCAGTCATTTTCAAACATCTCATCAGTGGCAGGAACATTTTTTTGTAAAGGAAATAGCACGGGGACTCTACAATGTAAAGTGGATAAGCACTGAGTGTGTCTGGGTTAGAGTGTTGGGGTTGGGGGTGGGGGGGATCCTGGAGCCACGCCTACCAGCCCCTCGTCCTCCCTCCGAGCACCCCTGGGCTCCAAGAAGATAAATTTCACCTCCCCCGATAGGGACTTCAAAATGCCTCCAGGAAACAAGGCAAATATCCATCAATAGGTGCAGGTGTGCAATACCCATCCAATGGAATATTACTCAGCAGTGAAAAATTAAGCAAGCACAGGGTCTGCCATGTCATGGTTGCAACCCAGACATTCTTTGCTGAGCTAAAGAAGCCAGACACAGGCGGCTAGGCTGCACAATTCCACTCAGATGATACTCCAGAAAAGACAGATCGAATCCACCACGACAGAAAGCAGATCAGTGGTGTCCGGGGGCTGAGGGTAGGTGTGGGATCGACTCCTGAGGCACATAAAAGAACTTTCTGGAGTGCCTGGGGTGGTGGATACATGGGTATATACATTTGTCGAAGCTCATCAAACGTCACAGCTGAAGTGGGTACATTTCATGGTATGTAAATTATACCTCAAAGTTGACTTTAAACGAAAGAAAGATTCCATGAAAGTTTTGTTTTGGATAGCTATTTCAAATAATATATTTTAATGTCCCCAGATGGAGCTCATTGATTTTAGAATCACGTGATGTTAATACCAAGCTCTGGGGTTGAGGCATGATGTGATTGGTGTTTGAGTCTGGGGCTGTACATCCCCAAGTGTTCGGTGGCACACGGCCACTAAAAATAGTAAGCGAAATCAGGGGCGCCTGGATGGCTCAGTGGGTTAAGCATCTGGCTTCGGCTCAAGTCATGATCCTGGAGTCCTGGGATCGAGCCCCGCGTCAGGGTCCTGGGATCGAGCCCCGCGTCAGGGTCCTGGGATCGAGTCCCGCGTCAGGGTCCTGAGATCGAGCCCCGCGACAGGGTCCTGGGATCAAGCCCCGCGTCAGGCTCCCTGCTCAGCGGGGAGTCTGCTTCTCCCTCTGCCCCTCCCCCCACTCATGTTTGTGTGTGTGTGTGCGCATGCTCTCTCTCTCTCTCAAATACATAAATAACATCTTTAAAAAAATAAAAATAAAACATTAAGTGAGATGAAATTCCAATAGTTTGAGAACTTTGGGATCTCCTTTCTTCTCTCCTCCTGGATGTTAAACCTCATGGTAGTTGTTTTAACTATAAGTATTCACTACAAAAATCCACAGGCCTGTCACTGGTAGTAGGTACGCATGCAAAATCTGGGCTTGGAATTCACTGGTTTTCCAAGTGCAGAAAATGAAATTGATTTCTAGGAAAGGTGAAAACATGGACGTTGAGTAGCTCCTGATTTTTTAGGGTTATGGATTTTATGAGCTGAAGGTTGAGTACAAGAAACATAAAAGCATCCTCCTTTGTACCTCCATCTCCTTGACGCGGCTTCACGGGGACCCAGCATCTACGCTGCGACAAGAGTGCGCAGTGGAATGGGTGAAGAGCCACTCCAGAGGATAGCAGGGACCTCCCCCCCTTGCCCCGGGGTAGGGGAGGCTCCGGAGAGCCCCTGCTGAGGCTTGGATCACCCTCTGCCCCGGCACTTCAGGGTCAGTCCTAACCCAGCAGACCTGCACCGGCTTTCTGGAGGCCAGACCTCAAGTCCTTGCCCTCCCCTGGCCCCCAACCCCCCGCCCGGGCCCCCCAGCCCTCAGCCCGGTGCCCAAGGGAAGGAGGAAGACTTACCATCAAGGCCAGCGTTCGGATCTCCTAAAAACCAATGCCATGCAATCAGTTGAAGAACAAGTCAAGGGCCATCTGGAGGGTCCCCTAGGCCCAGGCATGGAAACATGGGAGCTGGGTCCCCCTTAGGAGCACAGTAAGGTGGGCTCCGTGCCTCCCAACCGCATGCCGCTCCCACCTCTCCCCAAGGTTCACAGAGACTGGGCAGAGAATGCTCTATATCTCACCCAGGCTGATCTGAAGCTGTCCTACACCAGACTCAAACAGGCCCTGAAACGGACTGCCCGCTTCCCTTCACTTTGCCAAAGAGGGAGGACACAACGTCTCTGCTTCTCCCTGATCACTGACTGGGACCCTCCCCTGTTCTCTCCTCTTCCCCAGAACCCAGATTTCAAGGCTCTGACATACTTCCTCGTAAACAACGAATGCAGAATAGGAAGATACAGAGCCACTCAAGAAACCAGGGGGACGATTGTTGGCATGGAGACAGGATCGTACACCACGTAAATGGATCCACAGAGGTACAGAGTTTCCTTTAAAGGGATGGTTCTCCACCTGGGGGTGGCGTTTGGCCCCCGGGGACATTTGGAGACATATTTTGGCTGTCAACAGGGGGTGGGGTGCTCCTGGCATCTAGTGGATAGAGACCAGGGATGCTGCGAAACATCCTACAACATACAGGGCTCCCCTTCCCCCACAACTCCCCACAAAATGACCCCACGGTTATTGAAGACCTGGGGCTCCAGAACCCTGGATGGACCAGCAGCACCCCCCAGGGTGCCAGGATGCTCCAGTTATGGTGCTCTGTTCCCCAGAGCCAGGATAGCCTGCTGGCAGGGCCAGACCAAGAGCCAGGCCACCTGGTGGCCAAATGAAGGGGGTGCATTTGCCCGGAGGCTGGAGACAGAGGCCAAGGGAGAGAGAGCAAGGGGGACACTCTCCTGGAAGCTCTGCCCAATAGCCTGCCCTCAAGCACACTAGTGGGGGCATTGAAGTGCCCCCTCATAGGGCCGTGGTGCAGCGCCCAGAGGTCTCTGAGCGCCTCCCGATCTCTAGTCTCTGGGCCAGCTCCCACTCACCTGGAGAGCCTCGTTGATGTTTCCGTTGTAGTCCACCATCTCTCCTTTCCCTGGTTCCCCCTTGGTGCCCTGCAAGACAAATGTGGCCTCAACCCCAGGCCGGGGCCAGTAGGGACGGGGGCGCAAGGCTGCCTACTCTCTACCAGGTGGGATCGTAGCCAAGGCGGGCTTTGCCTGGCTGCACGCGGGAGGACCCAGAGCTGCAGGCCGGGGAGTCAGGGGCTTCCCCACACTGAGAGAGGATGCCTAGAGGTTCTAGAACAAACACAGAAGACTCTATGCGACAGACTCTGGTCTAGACAGACCTAGAGAAGACCGAGTCCCATCATGGCTGCCATGACCGTAGAAAGAGGTCTCTCTCCCTCCCTCCCGTTCAAGGCCCAGAGTCCAGCCATTCACACTGTGACCCCAGGGGAGCGAGATGTTGTGCTCTGACTCCGGGGAAGATGCACGTACCTTGGGGCCGGCTGGTCCCTGGTCTCCAGCTGCTCCAGGCTCCCCCTGTTGCATGACAAAATTGGAGTGAAAGAGGGATAAGGCTGGATCCGAGAGCACCTGCTGTCCCCAGAGGGGCCATTGTAAGGGGCCCTGGAGGGGCTGGGAGGCTCATCTTCACTCAGGCCAAGAGGCTGCCGACCTTCCTGTAGGGAAGTGCAGGCTCCTTCCCTTCAGGAGCATCTCTACCTGCCTCACCTCCTCTGGGCCTCCCAGCGCCTCTGGGCTCCTCTGGCTTCTTGCTGAAAGACCTTCTTCCTGGTCTGGGCTAGTTGCTAGGGACTGCACCTGTGACCCGTGTCTGCCTGGCCACCTCTCCCCCGCCCCCTATGGCAGCCACCTCTTCGGAGGACCAGGCCCTTTGCTTCTGTTTATTTCCATTCGGCTCACAGAGCAAGAGTCCGTGACCTGAGGGGTCAATAATTGCCATGGAGGGACGATGGGTTCTTTCAGGGGCCTCTCTGCATGTGATAGCCCCAAACTGCCGGATGGAGAAAGGGAGTTCAGCGGAAGGCACTAGGAGCGCTCAACCTCCCCGCTGGGTGGGGTTGGGGGTTATTGCTGTTGGAAACAGGACAGAACTATGGGGAATGCATGAAAACAAACCTCAGTCCCAATGGTTCTGGGACAATGTTAACATCAGAGACAAATTTTAAAAATCAAGACAGAAAGTGTATGTAAAGGGACAACAGAGCCTTTAATATAACTTAATTCCACACGACCCTGAAGCCGATCAGCTCGTGGAATGTCGAGCCACTGTCACCTGCTGATGACCTGCCCCTACCCTCCCTCCCCCCAGAGCATTTTCGTCCCTGAGCACCGTGAGGGACAGGGCAGCCCCGACCTGACCCTCCCACAGGAAGTAGCTGGGGAGAAGTGGGAGCCCCACCTTTACCAGGGGCGTGGAAGCTAACAGAAGCAGGGGTTCTGGGTCCTGCCCCAGCCCAAGTGTCTGACCCTGGACCAGCCTTTGCATGACTGCTGACTCCATGGAAGGCTCTCCCCAGCCAGCAGGAGAGATGGCCACCCGGAGTCACGCCCCATCAGCTTTGTGCCCCGGGGGTCTGGCTGCAGGGCCGGCCACCACACTTGCTCTCCCTGAGCTGGGGCTTGAACTCCCAAGCTGACCTCATCTCAGAACTGTGAGCCTCTGTACCTTGTCTCCTTGCCGTCCTGGGGGGCCGGCCTGGCCATCAACCCCAGCTTCTCCCTGGGGAAGAAGAGAGACATGGGTGTTAGGTGTCTTTGGATCTCTGTCTTTGTCTGCACTGGCTTCTACTGACTTACCTCATTCTTCTCATCTGCCTCCCGCCCACCCGTGGGCCCAGTCTGGGTCTCACCTCCTCCTGGCAGCCTTCCCTGTCTGCCCCTTTCCTCCTCTGAGTTCTGCACCACTTCCTGGGGTCCAGCCCGCAGTGCAGGCACTCCTCAGTTCTGGTTAACACACAAGCCAGCTCTGTTGCAGCTCCCAGGTGGGGACCGCCATGCACCCCCAGCTACCGGGAGGTAGGTCATTTTGGAACCTAAAGCACCGGGGAAGGCACATCTCAGCAGTCCCGCCTGGGAGACAGAGGGGACCATGAAGCCTCCGGGCATGGAGGGAGGGGGCCCAAGAGGCCTAGGATGGGAGGCACAGAGAGAGATGGGAGGAGGCCCCCCCCACGCATACTTCCCTTAGTCAGCACTTTGCCTGGCCCTGAAGGAGGACACGGGCTTGGGAACAGTCTTCTAACTTTCCCCTCTTGTGTCCCAGAATGCAGGGACAGTAGTGATCAGGCTTCCCTGACCCCAAATCAAAACCCAAAACCTGCCAGGGATCAACACCCCGTGGGGTCAGACTCCGACCCTGGGGATGTCCTGGAGCCCTGGGGGCAGGGCCACCATTAGCAAAGCTGGTGCTCAAGCCAGGGAGGCTCTATTCCTGCCACGGTCAGATGGGCATGTGGGGGTTCGCCCGAGACCTTTTCGGCCACTTCATCTTGTCTGTCTGTGGGCTTCCTTCTGGCCCCCACCACGATACCCCTGTGAATTGTGGGTCTGCTTCTCCTGCTGGGTTGTGAGCAAGCTGAGGGTAGGTTCTCTGCAGCCTCGCAGCCCAGGCAGGGCCCCGCCCACAGCAGCAGGTGGGTGGAATGAATGTGTGTATCATCTGAAATCATGTCCTTGCCTTATAAGCTCAGAAAGAGGCCATCCTCTCTTCCCCGGGCTGCTGGAGTAAATGGAGCAGTGCAGGCGTCTGCTTCGGGAAACCCAAACCCCACCACTGAAGTTTCAAAGTGAGGGCAGTCCCATTGGCAGCTGACCCCACTGCTGCTACCCGGCCCCCCGCCCCCCCCCCGGGTGCCAGCACCAGGTGGGGCCCAACTGATCACTGATGTCTATTCAGAGCCTGGGCAGGGGGCCCTTCTGGCTGTCCTAAGCCCTGCAGCTGTCCGTCCCTGACTCAGTTACATCGTAGCTGTCATTGGGACCATCCATCTGCCCTCGGACTGTTTCTCTCGGATAGTCAAACAGTCACCACTTAAAATCAGGAGCTCAGTCCAAATTGTCTTTCTAGAATCCACTGGAAAAACCACATATCTGGAGCAGGAGAGAAGGCAAGGTGCCCAGGATGGAGTCCGCAAGAATGGGCTGAAGATAAAGGTCACAGGCAGCATCTCCCTCGAGCGTGGATCCCAGGGAAACTCACCTTTGGCCCGGGGAGCCCAGGTAGCCCTGGGGGGCCGGGCTCCCCTCTGCCCCCTCCGATGGAGTTACCAGCATCACCTTTTTCTCCCTGGGAACAGAATAGGGGAGAGTGGGGGAGTAACCATCACTAGGCCTGCCTAGCTCTGGAGGGAGGTGGCCCATCCCTGTCTTTTCTCCCCTCGCAGTTCCAAGGAGTAGGGGCAGCAGACCACCCTTCGGTCCAGGCTGGGCACAGAGGCCCTCAGAAGCCCGGCCTGGTCTGACTGGCCATGGGATTTGCGGAGAGAAGGGACATAGCTATTGCAGGGGAGCAGGTATGGAGCAAAAAATGAGACCCCTCATACCTTGGGCCTAGACTCTGTTTCTCAGAGTGTGTCCATGGAACCCTCCTTCCGGGGGTGGGAATATTTGAAAGGTGGCCAAAGGGTGTTAGGGAAGGCAGAGGGAAATGAAGAAGCTCAGGCTCCTGCCCCGCAGGGTGCTCTGAGCCCCGGCAGGTGAAAGTGCCCTGTGACCTTCCAAGGGTGCCTGACTTACGCAGCTCTCCCCACACTTACTTGACCTCAAGTCTTCTTTTCTTTTTTTTTTGATGGAATGTAATGGAGCTCATGTCCTAGGGAGCACGTTTTCAGAGCTGACACAAAGACATCTGACAAGGTCACAGCTACTGGTCTTTGAATATGGGCATTTTTTGCCAGTCAGGGCCTCCCACGTGGCACCCCACGCACGAATCTAGCTGTGTTCCAGCTTCTTTCCCCCAGTCTGGGAGGGACACCTCCGATACTGGGGCCCCTGAATGGTCAGGGCCGGGAACATGGATGCGGATGAACCCCAAGGCCTTTACACAGAACCCACCATTTTGAGCTTGCTAATACCCACCTTCTGCCCCATGAGGCCGAATAGCCCAGGGGAGCCTGCAGCCCCCTTTTCACCCTGTGGAGAAAATACAGACAGTGCAGGGTTAGGAATGGTTTCTCTAGGATGCCTGGGAAGGCACCAGGCCCACCAGCATAGGGCCTTGGTTTTCTCTCTGCTGCCTCCCTGCCCCTTTGTGGGCCATTTCCCACCAGACCCCCATCTGCACCTGACTCCTTCCCTGGGCCACTTCACACTGGTGAGGGCCTGGATCATTGTTCTCCTTTTCCAGTATTGGCCGGGCCCTCATCATTTATGAAGCAAGAGGTGCTAAGAGCATTTAGCTCCTTTTGCCGGGTCTCCTGGGGAGAGGCGAGCAGTGTAGAAGGCCAGTAGTCGGGAAAGCTCTCCATTTTAACCACTCTGTTCTTTTCATTTTTTAAATGTCTAGCATTTAGAGGCCCCCAGTCTCGGCCAACCTCCTCCCTGCCTCCAAGGAAAACAAATACCATCTCACTAGACTTCTCCTTTGGAGGACTATTTTGAGAAGTTTGCTTCCTGTGATGGGTTGGCCTACGTCCTCCCAAAATTCATATGTTGAAGTTCTAACTCCCTGTAGCTCCGAATGTGACTTTCGTGGGAAATAGGGTCATTATAGATGTAACTAGTGAAGTTATGAGGTCACACTGGAGTAGGGTGGGCCCCTAATCCAATATGATTGGTGTCCTCATAAAGGGGACATTTGGACAGGGGGACATGGACACTGGGAGAACGCCATGTCAAGATGAAGGCAGAGATTGGGGTGATGCTTCTACAAGCCAAGGAACACCAAAGGATGCCAGCAAACCGCTGAAACGAGGAGAGAGGCAGGGGACAGATTCTCCCTCACAGCCTGCAGAAGGAACCAGCCCTGCCAACACCTGATCTCAGACTTCTGGCCTCCAGAACTGTGGGACGATAAGCTTCTGTGGTTGAGCCACATGGCCTGTGGTCCTTTGTTCGGGCAGCCCTTGGAAGCTAATACTCCGCCCTAAGCATCTTCTTCGGCCATGAAGAATTTTCTCCCCCATGTCGTGCATCACAGAGCTCTGCTCTCGCTGCACAGATAAAGAGACTCCATGGCTGTGAACGACCCCTCCTGGCCTCAAGTGGCAGAGGCTGGCCCACTCCCCAGCCCTCCTGAAGCTCCATCTTCTATACCATGAAGACGGCACTTGGCCCTCCCAGAGTGGCCCGTATCGGGAGAGCAGGTCAGCACCCGAGAGCCCCCTCCGCAGCTTGATGGCTGCTGGTTCTTCTAGCTAATTATAGAAATGGAGGGCCCTGGGGTCATAGTTTGCCAGGTGTCTCAATGAGTTTTCCAGCTAGAGCCACGGAGGATGCCACACCAAGTCTTTAGGTGTCATCCGCTTGCCACCTGCCCTGGGGTAGAAGGTGAATGACAAAACAGCCTGGGCTGTGCTGAGCTGGGGCAGGCCCTGAAACAGGCCGAGTCTAAAGGGGAAGGATGTAGGTGCTGCCCTCCGGAGGCCGGCCGTGGGGGCAGTGGGGGTGGGGGGAGGGGAGGCCTCCCTTCTGCTGTTCTTTCCTCTTGAGAACCAACGCTTTCGAGGGGGGAGGGTGTGCTCCCGAGTGCAGGATCTCTGCAGCTTTGCCAGGCCATCTGGGCACTCCCCTCTTCCTGGGGACACATGCACCCCGAACACACGGGCCATGGGGGGGGCAGGGGGTGGAGGACCAGCAGAGGCCGATCTGAAGGGGACACACTCAGAGACACAATATCCTACCCTCTGCCCTCTCTTTCCCGGCAAACCTGGGGGCCCTGGCTTCCCTGCTGCTCCTGGGTCTCCCTTTGGGGTAAGAAGAGAAAGTCACTGATAAGAAGATTGGGGGGGGGTGAGGGGTAGGGTGGACAGTGATTGTAAACCAGCATTTCCAGAATACTAGTCCCATAAGATGTTCCTCTTAAGAAAAGGATGCTCTAGTCAAAAAGTTTGAAAATGCTGCACCAGAGATTACAGTTTTAGAGCTTCCCAATATACATGCAGCATCTTAAAGGCCCTGAGAAGGCCTGCAGTTAAACAAAAACAAAAACAAAAACAAAAACAAAAAAAACCCTGTGAAATATTTTTAACTCTGTACTTCCCAAACATATTTGGCATGGAAACGTTTTTCATGTTACATCCCTTATAGAACGAGACAAGAGAGACAGAGAGCCCTGCAGGCACAAGGGACAAGAGTTACTGCCTGCTGGAACCGGTGTGCAGGCAAACTGACAGAGCTCCAGGCCAGGATCAGGGAGGGGAAGGCATTCCTGACCAGCAGGCCCCTCCTGGGTGGGCCCTCCTCTGCTCAGTCGGGGCCCCAGCTCCAGGCCAGCCTCAGGGGGGCCGAGAGCATAGCAGTAGCTGCCCCCTCCCCAAGGCTTGATGCTCCGTGTAGCCCAGAACATTCCCTCTGTATCAGTACCTTGGCTCCCGGGGTCCCTGGCTCACCCTGTGTGGAAAAAAAAAAAGAAGACTCCGGTAAAGAGATGAAGGAGAGAGAGTGAGAGCTAACGCACGAATAAATGAGCAAAAGTCCTCATGGGGTGCGTGAAACATCTGGCCAGCCCAGGGCTTCCCTCTGCCTAGGCTTCAGGTCCCAGGCCAAAGGAGGCCTCCTGGACTCTTCCCGATTCTTCCCCTAGGTGAGGGATGTGGCAAGTGTGAGCTCGGGGGGAGAGGAAGGAACGGGCATTTGCTTTGGACACAATGCCCCCGGTCTGTGGACCTGCCGGGAGATCCACATCTGTGCTTCTGGGTGTCCCCATGCCTGCCGACCAAATGCGGTTAGCGTGGGGTTCAGGGGAAGGACTCCTGCTCTCCTGTCGGGAGCTTTGCGAGCACGCAGCTGTTGGATTCTGAGGTATAAAGGAAAGCACCGGGTCCCCTTGGCCCCTGGCAGGATGCTGCTCTAGCTGAGGCTGGCAAACCTTAGCTACTTACTATGCAAGGCTTGGTTAAAACGTCTCTAGTTCAAGCTGTGCATAATGGCATACACGTTGCCTTGAGAAATGTTTCTGAATCCTGTCTGCCTCCTCCTTGGCCGAGGGGCCACCCCACAGAGTCCCTGAAGCCCCAACTCCGTCTTCCTCTCTCCTTGCCTCCCATCCTGCCCCTCATGTGAGCAGTGCTAACGTGCCACTGACCTTCATCCCAACCACAGCAATTCCAGGAGCTCCCTGGTGGAGAGAAGAAAAAGGCATGGCGACCTGGGGCGAGCACAGAGGGAGGGGCCAGCCTCCCAGCCTCCCAGCCTCCCCTCAGCGGGGGATGCGAAGGCAGACTGCTTGCTTCTGCCTGCTGGCCGGGCCCACGGCAAGGGTGGGTGGCTGAGTCTGGCACAGGGAGCGTGGGTCCCCAGGAAGGCAGAGGCTCTGAACAGCACAGTTGAGTCCCCCAGGCTTCCCACCCACCTGCTCGGCTCCCAGCCCTCCTGGCAGGGAGCCCAGGAGTGTCCAGATGGGGGTGTGTCTGGGGTGCAGTGTGGGATAGGAAAGGGGGAGGAGGCTCTGGGAAGGGAAGGGGGTAGAAGGAGAGCCGCGTGGAAGGGAAGAACGGGAGATGGCTGATTTCACCCCTGAGTGGGCAGGTGGGATTCTTCTCACAGAGAACTCTCTGGATCTGTGCCTTCATGGATTGGGGGGCAGCTGGGAGTGAGCCCCATTTCCACATCAGCCCAAAACCAGCCACTTTGAGGTAAATAGGCTTCCAGATGCAGCATGTAGTCAATCGTAAGTGGAGGGGATATTTAGGGAGTCCCTACTCCCCACGTGGGACGGCAGCCAGAGCTGGGCTTACCCGAGAAGCGTTTTTATGGCCCAGAGATGCCCAGGAGGAGGCCCGGCCATGTCAGGAGGGCGCTGGGGAGTGCTGGCTCGTGGGCCAAAGAGAAGCACCCCGGCCCCCCGAAGAGCAGGCTGACACCGCAGGGGGAGGGGGCTGGGAGGGAAATGTGTACCCCCTCTTCAGGTCTCCACAGCGGACATGGGAAGGAGAAGGAGTTGGGCCTCCCAGGTGTCCCAGAACTTGGGAGAGAGGGCTGGAGCTCAGGCAGGGGCTGCAGGTGGTGGGGCGTGGGGTGTGGGGGGAGGGTGCTGCCGGAGATGGGGGAGGGGCAGGTACCTTTGCTCCATGTTTGCCCGGCATCCCTGGCATTCCCCGTTCTCCCTGAAGGAAGAAATAAAAGAAACACTGAGAAGAGGCCCAGACTAGCCCGAGGCCTCGGCCCTTGGCGCACAGCCTGCAGGGATGTCCACGAGATACTCCTGCTGGCTGGTCTGGAAGCTTGGGATGCCTGTCCAGCTCACAATGAGCTCCGAGGACCTGGCAGCCACCGCAGGCCGTCGTTCCTCTTAGCTACGTGAACTCACAGAAGGCCCCCCAAGAGAGAGAGGCTCACCAGCAGAGTCCGAGTCCCGAGGGGCTGCAGGAGGGCTGTGCAGGACCTACCACCAGCCAGGGGCCCAGCTGGGTCAGAGCTCGGTGCACTTGGCCACTCACCCGCGCATTCCTCCCTCTCATCGCCACCTAGCACTTCCTGCTCCGTTCTCACCCCAGAAGCTTCGCTCTCGTGGTACCTGCTGGCTGAGCCACATGGGCTCCTGCCTCTCCTCTTCATCTGGGGCTCCCCTTCCTCCCAGCTTCCTTGGGTCTAACCCTTCCCAAGGGCCCGGGGGTCTTGGCCCTGCACAGCTGAGGGCCAGCCTGTGGTTTGGGGGTCGGTGGAGGCAGGGTGCTGCCTGGAACCCATCCGTGGGCACCAGGAGGACTGTGGCTTCGGGATACTGTGGGGTTTGCTCTACGATCTCAGCAGTGTCCCGTCTTTCTCCTCAACCTCTTTTCCCTCCCCGTGAAAATGCCAAACTTCTGGGGTGGGGCTGTGAGCTCAGGAAGGACAGGAAGGAGATGGGGTTGGAGATGACAGCCAGTGACAAATGGAGGCCAAGAGTAGATGAGTCGAGACTGACCTACTGTGTCAGAGAAGGGGGTGGTGCTCAGGAGAGGAAGGAGGGCAGCTCTGGTCTCAGCGAGTTGAGCCCAAATGAAGCCCCAGCCCGGGCTCGGAATGCCAGCAGCGACAGGGGACAGTCAGCGCTGTCTTGGGTCCCAAGAGCTGTGGCCTTCAGGCTAGGCCCCAGTTCCCATAGGCTTCCGGGCAGAGGGGGACACTGGTCCCACCTGGCCTCCATCTTTTCCGCTGCCTTCATCCCTTCTCTTCTGCCGTCTTCTGGGAAGTCCTATCCACCCTTCCGCTGGCCAAAGCTAGAACTTCTTCCACCCTCTCTGCTTCCGGACTGGGCCTCGGTGCTGGCGTCTGGGGAAGCTCCCCGGGACACAGGCTGGACAGTGACACTTCCTTACTGCAAAGTAGCCACTGCCCGGCATTGACCGCAGAAACGGGGCCAGGCATTCCGTCCTCGGCTTCCTTCCCAGCCTCATCACCTGACATCCCGATACCTACTGCCTATTTCCCTGAAAACACCACCCATTTTCAGGATTCCATGTCTTTTTTTTGAGAGAGAGGGAGAAGGAGAGGGAGAATCTCAACCAGGCTCCACACCCAGCTCTGGACATGGAGCCTGATGTGGGACTTGATCTCATGACCCTAAGAGCTTGACCTGAGCTGAAATCAAGAGTCAGATGCTTAACCAACTGAGCCACCCAGGCGCCCCGGATTCTATGCCTCTCTGATGTTCCCTAGACACCCTGTTCATTGTTAGGGGCCTTGGTCAAATACCATCTCCTCTGTGAAGCCTTTTGCTATGCCCATACCCAATGCCGGTTCCTGGGTGCAGTGGGGACCACTCAGCATTAGTAATCGGCATGCATGAATTAATGTCTGCCTGGGATCGTTCACCTCCATCCTCCTTGGGCTAAGTCTCCGAATTCTGCAAAAGGCCCAGAATCTTTAGCTCCAAACACAGGAGCCCTTCCTCACCCTGACCCCTGACCCCTGAGCCACAGGCAAGGTTAGTGGATCCGTACTCAGGAGGTGAACACAGCAGACGAGTCATTGCCCCGGGGCCCCAAATTCTGGGAAATCCCTCTTACAGGCCATTTACTGTGTCTGCCATGCGCCTGGCACAAGGCTAAGGGCTTTCCATCTGTCCTCTATTCTATCTCCAAGACTTCTCTCTGATGTGGCAATGGATTTTATTCCCAGTTCACAGGTGAACAAATGGGCTCTGAGAGGCCAGGTATGATCACCAAGGTCATGCAGAGTAGGGATTTGAACACAGGTCTTTGTTTGCCGAAGTCCAGGTACCCATTTCTCTAAGCCAACCCCAAGCATCGATGGGCTGATTCTAAAGCCCCTCTCAGCTGGAGGGCCCTCTGGTCCCTGCCTCAGAAGGGTGCAGGGGTCAGCGCAGGAGGGCAGCTCCCGGGGCTGGGGGGCTGGGTCTTTAACCCCACGCTGGGCAGAGGAAGGAGCTGGGCAGGGCCCTGCCTGCCAGCAGAGGTCTGCTCTGTGGCCAGCAGAGGGTGCCACAGGACCTTGTCAGAAGTCTGGTGACTGTGGCCAAGAGGGTGTCAGAGCCCCCTCCTCAGGAGTCCCAGCCGAGGGCCCCTATCACTGTCTCCTTCAGAGGACCCAGGATCTTCTGCTAACGTTCCAGCTGGTCCAACCAGGTTGACTTAGCCCCGAAGACACCCCGAAGACAGAGTCCCCAGGGGTGGGGGGTCCAGGTGGGAAATCAGCTTGGCCCTCCCTCTTCTCCTGTCTTTCCCTCGCCTTCCCTCAATGGCCCTGCCCGCCTCTTCTCGTCTCCATCTGGGGCAACTGGCTGGGAGTCAGGAAAGGCTGTGTGACCCTAGGTAAGCCTCTTTCCCTCTCTGGGTCCAGGCTCCTCCTCTGCAAAGTGAGTCAGACTGGAGTCCCCTGGCCTACCACTACTCTGGCCCTTTCTCCAGCCACCGCCAGCCCTGCCTGCCTGAGGCCTTTAGCCAGGAGAGAGCTCGGAGCTGGGGAGGGGACACTGGGTCTGTCGGCAGCTGCAGAGCAAGGCTGTGGAGGTGGGAATTTAGCTGTGGGGAAAATGCTGGTCTAGGACGGGTCTCAGGGGGTCTCTGCTTTCCCTCCCTCCTACCTGGAAGGACAGCTGCAGAAGCTTCAGCAAGGGGGGTGGGGTGGGGGTCTGCTCGAGCCCCATCTCTGGGCTTCTGTCTCCAATCTCAGCAGGAGCAGTGCAGAGCGAACCCCGGGAGTGAGGTTTTCCCGCTAATTGGGGTAGTCCTCAGCCCGTGCTGGCTTGTATGTAAAGACAAAACCACCCTCTCCAGGGAATTCCAGGCCCCTTGGAGCTTCCAAAGGAGGCAGCCCTCCTCGTTAGCGTGGCTGACCTTCGCCCCTTCCCTCCCCTCTGGGTCAAGTCTCTTAATTCTACAGATGACCCAGGCTCTCTTGATCCCATTTCAGGCCTCCCTCACCCCCACCCTTCTGTCGGGCAGGAAGCAGGGGTGCCCCCGGCTGACCCCACCCTGCAGGCTCATTCCATTCTCATCAGGCGGGGCTTACCCCAGCCTGACCTCTGCCCTGGGGACCAGCCCAGTCTGACACCGGGAAGCACTGATTCTTGGATCTGTGAGGTGAGACAGGGCTGAGTCATTGTCAAGGACTTTGGGGTGGCTGTGGACAAGGGCACCTGTCTGCAGGGAGTGAGAAGGGGGTTTCTGGTAGCTATTGCTAAAAGGGGGACCATGACTTCTGTTTACACAATTTTTCCCCTCAGTGTGTCTTTATGAGGGTCCTTTTGCCCATCTCTCTTCTTAAAAGTGTTCCTGTTTAAAAGGTTTAGGTTTGGAATTGTGCTGAATTTAGTTTCACTAACTCGAGTGTCTTCATCTTAAGTACAGAGGGAATTCTCATAGTCTGTCCAAGTCCAAGGTCCCCAGTTTATCCCCTTTATCTTTGCCTTCCCTTATCCTCCCAGTAGGACACCAGGAGCTCCCCCAGTGGGCTCCTAGGGACCCCACCTGGGCCACTCTGTAGCTGGGGTGGTGGGCACTCTGTGCGTTGCCCAGGGGCACAGAGCATGGATGGCAGAGGCAGTAGGGGAACCAGGGCAGAGACCCCGGGGCCAGGACATCCCACCACCGAGGAGCCTGGCTCTTTAACCTTTGGTTAACCCAAGAACGCTTGATTGCTGGCCAGGAAGGGGTAGATTCCAGTCACTGTGGCTAAGAAAGCTCTGGGTGAGCACAGGTGGGTAGAGAGGGGGCTGCCTCGAATGACCTTGAAGGCCGGTCCCAGCCCTGCCTTTTACGATGCCACTAACTCTCCAGCCAGGCCTGGCACAGGGCGCCTTGCAGCACTAGTGGGTTTTCTATTCTGGTCCCGGCTTCCAGGTGGAGGGACCCCTCGATTACCGAGACAGGAGGAAAGTCAGCTCCTTAGAGCACAAAATGGCCATGCCCCTGTCCTGTGCGAGTGGCCTCTTAATTGGTGATTTACTGTTTGTTGGATAAGCAGGGCAGGGATTTGGCAAGAAGACATAGTCTGGAGGGAGGTGGGGGGCTTCCAGGTCAGCTCCCCAACCAAGCAGAGGTCAGGCCAGAGGAGTGTGGGAGATGAATGGATCTCCCTGGGATGAAGCTCCCGTGCAGCGCAGAGCCATGGGGAGGGCCCCGGGGGAAGCAACTCCACACACAGACTCTTTGTTCTCTGCAGGGAGGAGGAAGGCCCGTCTGAGAGCCGCTGTGGAGGGCTGGGGGTGGGGGTGGGGGGCGGAGGCCAGCAGGTGGCTCAGGCCTCCAGGCTGGACCAGGTTCCTTTCCTGGGCTGGGAAAGCCGGGTGAGGCAGGCTAATGTCTCTTTCTGCCCTAAGGGCAGAGTGTTCCTCGGCCTCCCTTCCAGGAAAAGGCAGCTCATTTCCTTCTTCGCTGCCCTAGCCAGCACCAGACAGGAGAGGACTGGAACCGGGGAGATGTCAGCTCCTCTGGTAATTAGGACCGGCAGGAAGTAATCTGGGGAATTACCGGGGTCAGGCGCCCCATCGAAGGCTGGGGCTTTGGAAGGGCGGCTGGCTTGTAATCTCGATTTGAGATCGGTTGATTTTGTAGTTAGCTCCAAAAAGAAAAGTCAGCTCTAATTAATCTGTGGGCTTTGGAGTGTGGGAGAAACAGGGCCCAGAGAGCACAAGCTGGGGGCTGGAGGCTGGCGGGGTGAGACTCTCAGCCCCCACTAGGCCTCAGATCTGAGGCCCTTGTCTCAGATCCCTGCTCTGCTTTATTTTAAATGGTCTGGATGTCCCCGGTAGGATTTCATGGCTTTGAAAGAAAGTGCTGTCCCCGCCCCAGAAGGCTCCTGCATCTACCATGTCTGTCCGCATGGAGCGCTCCACTGTGCATGAATGCTGCCGGAGCCTGGAGTTCCTCAGGCCCTCCGAGAGCCAGAGAGGTACAGGGGGCCTTAGGAAGAGCGGTGGTGGGGGCCTGAGACAAGTTGCCTTTTCCTGCCTTTAGTGGAAGTCCCGGGGCCATGCTAAGTCCTTGGGGGAATCATTTGGGGGGATCAGTGCCCATGGACAAACACTCCACTTCCTGGGTTCTTTGACTGAAACGCATCAAGGACCCCAAGGTCGGCTCGCAGAGAACCTAGGAAGCTCAGAGAAAGGCCCAAATCCAGCCCCAGCCTTTTCCCTCAGGAAGGAGATCAGCCCAGTTCCCACCTTCTTTCCTTCTAGGGGAGGAGGGCCTACAGGAAATGGGAAAACGCGGCATCTGGCCCCTCTCCCGGCTCATAAGGCCCAGGTAGTACAGTCATTCAGGGCAAGGATTTGGGATAAGACAGAACTGTTTTTACTACTTCCTGGCTGTGGACTTTCCGGGACTCCCCTCTGTGGACCTCAGTTTGCTCATCTGTAAATTAGGGCTAAGAATAAAGCCTTCCTCTGAGGGTTGTTCTAAGACTTCAGTAATATGATGCGGGCACTGTGGCACGTCCGCAGCTGGCCCGTTGAAAAAGCCAGTGAGGCAGCCGTGATAATGTTACCTGTCATTCTGCAGACATGTGTCCACCCACGTGGCCCCCTGCTCTGACTGGCAGATCGGAATGATCGTGCCCTTTTGTAGAATTGAGGACCGCGTGGCCATATGGTCGGGGGCCAACCTGGGCTGGGTGGGCGAGCTTCTGCCCCTCCCGCCCTCACCCCAGTGCCCTAGACATCTGACCTTAAGGCCCGTCTGACCTTTGCCCCTGGGGGCCCCACAGCCTCCAGGAGGAATAACCACTCTCAGAAGCTGCTCTGGCACATCCTGCCTTCTCTTGTCTGGAAACGCACAGCCCCCAGCAGGAAGGGGCTGTGCGCTTCAGTCACAGTCCTTCACTAGAACCCCAAGCCTTACCCCCAAGACTGCCCGCGCGTCAGTGCGCCCCCTGCTGCTGAGTCAGCCAGACCAGCTCCGACACGCTTACAGATAAACTCTCACCGGGTTTTGTGATCCACATACAGTCTGACCATACCCATCAATCCCCTTGAAAGAGAGCCAAGGTTGTAATGTTTTAAACACACTTTGCATCTTATAACATATTTAAAGTAGATCGGTGGTCATAAATTCGGATCAAATTGGTACCACATGGGTGCGCAAACCTGCTCGCGGTGTCTAGGCGGAAGTGCTGGTCCCAAGCAGGGCTGGGGGCAGCGCAGGGCCTGCTGGCCACACTGGTCTTTGATCCGAAGGAGCTAGAGAGGAAGCCTGCCCTGCTAGCCTGGCTGGCCTTTGAGAGGATGCCAGGCTGGGTCCAGCGGGGGGGGGGGGGGGGGGGGGGGGGGGGGAGGGCGGCAGCGGTGATGATGGACGGAACTAATCATTGGCAAACTCTGCAGGCCAAGAAATATCTTTGCTAAGAGTTAAATTCCACCCTTGCTGAAAGAAAGACCTCCCTGTATGTGTATCAAGTCTCCGGGACAGGGCAATTGAAGCAGATGAGGAGGGTCTGTCGGTTACCCCATGGGTTCCCCTTACACCCCAAACACAGGGGCAGTCCCACCGCCTCTGTCCCAGCTGGGTGTTCCCACCACCAGCACTCGCTCCTTCCTCCTTGGGTGGTGGGGTGGGGACAAAGTCCTCTTCCCAGCAGCCAGCTCTCTCCCCACCCCCCATGCCCCATTCCAAGCCGAGAGAAGAAGAGAGAGAAAAAAGAAGCTCGGGAGATAAGCCTCCACATCCCAGAGAAGGCACAGGGAGGAGGGACCGTGCACAGTTAGCTCAGCCTAGGCTGAGACCCTCTGCTGCCTGGACAAGAACACTGGCCTGGGGGCTTGGGCGCGTGAGACCCGGCTTCCAGTTCCAGCATGATCCTTCACCAGCTGTACAACCTTGGGCAAAGCAGTAACTTCTCTGAACTTCTCATCTGTACCAGGGGGATAAAGAGCTCTAACGGGTCACGGTGAGGACCAGGTGGGATGGGGACCGAGTGAACTTTGGCAGAATCAGAGATGTGAAGTATTGTGGCACTTGTCCCTGGGCGTTAGCCTCTTGATCTCAGAGCTCTGATGGGAAGCAAACTTCTGTCTGGGGATAGTGGTCACTGGCTCAAGACCCCCGCGGCCCCAGTGGGGCTGGGACCGTGGGACGGGCACCTGTAGCCTCCTGAGAGTCACCTGACACCACAGCCTTAAGCCGAGGCCTCTCCATCCTCAGGACATTAGACCCCCAACCTCCTTTCCGGATGCACCGGGTTTCCAGTTGGCCCACGAATGCACATGCCCGCCACTGGCATTGCTGTGCCCCCGGGGGCCTGCACTGCACCAGGAGGCAGTAAGTCTTGCGAGTCTGCGTGCGTGGTTGGAAGCAACCACAGAGGCTATAATTTCCACTTCCCGACACAATACAAACTTCTCAGTTTATGCAGAACAAATTAAAGGTCTCTCAGGTCCTGCCATTTCATCCCCCTCCAAACACCCATAAAACAATGCAGTGATGGCAGCCGCCCGATTATAGAGTGTGAGGAATGTGCTTCTCTGGAGCAATCTGTCCCTTTCCCAAATCCCTCCCCCTTCTTGTCCCCCCTTTCCTTCCTGCCTCCTTTCTTCTCCTGCAGCCCGGGTCCAGGTCTGGAGCGCTGCACGGGGCTCCCCGCAGCGGGTGGTGCCACCGGAAGGACCCAGGCCAGACTGAGTTCCTACTCTGCCACTCGCAAGCCATGAAACTCTGGGCAAGCCTCAGGTTCCTCATTTGTTAGATGGGAGAACAGTACCAGCCTCGCAGGGCAGTCACATGGAAGGACAGCCTGGGCACACGGTGGGCATTCAGTAAGTGGTGACTATGGCTAAGATTATTTTTATGTTTTATCATTGTTATAATGACCACCCCTGGGCCTTTGCTCAAATTGTTTCCCTGTCTAAAATGCCATGTCCCTGGGGCGCCTGGGTGGCTCAGTTGGTTAAGTGACTGCCTTCGGCTCAGGTCATGATCCTGGAGTCCCGGGATCGAGTCCTGCATTGGGCTCCCTGCTCGGCGGGGAGCCTGCTTCTGCCTCTGACCCTCCTCCCTCTCATGCTCTCTGTCTCTCATTCTCTCGGTCTCAAATAAATAAATAAAATCTTTAAAAATAAAATAAAATAAAATGCCATGTCCCTTCAGGTTTCCTGGTTGAGGGACAACAGTGGTGGGTAAAAATGGCCATGAATGCTTTGCTATTCCTCCCACGAGAAGCAGAGGCAGAGTCCCTTCCCCGCTCCCCACGGATGACACATGAGTTGGCCATGTGACTTGCTTTGACCAATAGGACGTCAGAAAGTGTGATGGCCTTGGATGCTTTGGAAAAGCTCTCGCGCACTCAGACTTGGCAGGTTTGAACACTGCCCTGGGCCTACCGTGCTGTAAGAACAGCTGTGTAGCCTACTGGGGGCTGAGAGGCCATGGCAGGGAAAAGAGAGGCTCCCCCCCGCACTCGTGGCGTGCACCAGCCACCCAACACGTGGATGAGACGGCTTGGCCTCTCTCTCCATCATCTGACACAACTGCATGAGTGAGCCCAGAGGAGCAGAACTCCCAGATGGCCCATCCACAGCACCAGAATGAGAGAAATCATCCTTTTAAGCCAGGAAGTTTGGGATGGTTTGTTACACAGCTATACCCACCCGGATACACCCACCCAGTCACCAGGATGGAGCTCCCAGGCTGTCTTCTCCCAGAAGACTTCACAGACTCCTCCCAATCCGGAATTAATCTCTCTAACCCGCACCATCCATATTCACACAATGCTTTGTGATGATTGCTTAGCACAATCTGCCTTCACCAGGGTTATTTGTACAGGAATCCTTCTGTCTCTCCAGACTGCAGGTTGTCAGAAAGAAGGTCTGGGACCCCCACCCCTGTAGCCCCCACCGTGCTCAGCATGGAGCTCTGCCCAGGGCGGACCCTGGTAATCTGCTCCCATTTACTAGGTCCTCGGGGGCCAGTGAAAACCTGGCCTGCCTGGGTAGAGACACAGGGATGCAGGTTGTCGGTGGGAGACCCACCTGGGTCTGGGGTCGGGCTGGGCCACTGATAGCCTGAGGCCCTGCCCCTCTGAGCCTCCTCCTCCCCAGATGGAGACACAAACTCCTGTGCAGCCCACCTCACAGATGTGAGGCTCACGCTGGGCAAGCGTGTGTGCAGACATGCGTGTGCGTGACCAAGTCCTGCCCCTGCTGGCGCTGTGGTGGGGCCCTACTTGGTTACCACTGGGGACGTAGGGTCCTTCCCTCCCCCTCCTCCCTACCTTCCGGCCGTGGTAGCCCTGGATTCCTGGGTCTCCCTGGGGGAACAAAGAGAAGAAAATTAGTGAGATTTTCCCAAATGCCCCATTTTGGCTTGCTCTCTTGCCCTCACATTGCCATTCCTCTTCTCAGTGACTGTAAATCCTCCAGCCCTCCCTGGAACAATAGCTTGCTTCCTCTGAAGCCAACAGAGACTCTTCTTTTCACAACAAGTCCCCATCCTGCAGAGGCGGAGGCATGGTGGAAAGGGTCCACCTGGCAGGGGCCCAGGAGACCTGAATTTTGCTTTTGATTCTGAATTTTGCTGCTGACTCTCTGCCGAACCGGGACGAGTCACTTGCCCCCAGGGCTCTCAGCCTCCACACGTGCAAAATGCTTGGGCAGGGTCAGTGCTTTGCAGCTCCTGGTCCCCCGAGGCCCAGGCCCACCCCGCTTCAGAGGGAGAGTCGGTTTGACACATGGGCTTCCAGACAAGGTCTCCCAAGAGACCAGATGATCCCGAAGGTCCCTTCCAGTTCTGACTCTGTAGGAAACCCTCTTTTATTGGGATGTTGTGACGGTGCCCCGGGCATCAACCTGGAGTCTCCCACCAGACTCTAAGCTCCTCAGAAGGGGGTACCACAGCCTCCATACTGGTCAGAGTACTGGCTGGGCCTGGGCACACAAGTGCAATCTCTGTGGGACCCAAGCTGTTACCAGGAGGAGGGTGACACTTTGAAGTGAGCAAAGCGTGACCCATCTCTCACGGAGGTCACTCTCAGCTGCTCACTCAGTAGCCCGCAGAGAGCTCTCCCACCCATTCAGTGCACCGCCCGGGAGGGCCCTCACCTTCGGTCCAGGAGGCCCGGGTAAGCCCTGTGGAAGCAAGAGCAAGGTGAGTGCAGATGGAATCTGCTGGCAAACAGCACAGGTCGGCGTGTTTGCTGCGAAGGCTTGGGGCAGAGGAGTGCTCATGAGCTGTGGGTGTGCTAGAGAACAGAGCTAGAGGATCCTGGAACGGTATCTGAAACCTGCGGAATGTGTGTGGGGACACCAGGCTCACAGCTCCCTTTGGAGCCAGTGTGGGCGCCGTGGGCATCTCTGCTGTGCTCACCCACTGGAAAATAGGTCAGCGGCAGCCTGTTAAGATGACAAGTGTGCTTTGGTCCGCGTCCCTGCCCACCCACCCACCTCCTAATTGGGACCCCGCCCTGGGACGCCGACCCTGCCCAGCAGAGCCTTGGTTTTGCCTTTGGCCCCGCCAGCCTTCAGGGGAGTCTTCTGTCTCCTTCGGCCCAGGGTGCCATGGGGAGGTGGTGTGGGCCCCGGGCCTACGGGAGCCCGAGGGCAGAGGCGAGGGCAGGCTGGCTCCACCGCGGTCTGGGGCGGAGGTTTGGGCAGCACACGCAGGCTGGAGAAAAGCAAGATGCCCAAGTCTGGTCCGTTTCCATGGATTTCAAAACATGCTTCCTGGTTTTTTTCTTTATAAACACCCTAACAAAGAAAGCCACGAGGCTTGGGTTCAGTGAGTGGGAACCTGACGTGTTTGGGGGGCCGGGGTCAGCGAAAAAGTGGATTTGGGGTATTCTGGGGGGATTCTCTCAGCTTGGTTTGGTTTAGTTTCCTAAATTTCACTTCCTTTCGGGTTTTCCGTTTTCCCATCTACAAACCCATGGCAGTGAGACTAGTCTTTCTCCCCAGGGTCCCAAAACATAGAAATATTTAAAATTCATTGTGGAGGTTGAGCGGGGCAGGAGGGCAGGCAAGTGAGGTTTTCACACCGAGCTGAGCTGCCACGCTGGGTGCCCTGGGTGGCCAGAGCTGCCGCTGGCCTAGAGGGGCCCTACACCGAGCCTCAGCGTCGGCAGCTAGAGCAGCTGCGAGGCCCAGATGTGAGGCCGAGCGACACAGAAGGCGGCCGTACTTGATGAGTGGCAGGGACACCGCCAACCCAGCCATTCTATCGCTGGGAATCTATTGCAGCGAAAGCATCAGAAATGCACACACACATTTATGTTCAGGGATCTCTATCACAGGAGGGAACTCTTTAACTACTCGTAAATAGGCCCAGCAGCCCTAAAATTCATTTCACGGGAGACTCCGGCCCAAAGCAAGGGTGTGCTTTATGGTGTTAAGTGAAAAACATAATGGGACCCAAACTGTGACGTTACTCAGCACATGACCAACCTGGAAAATGTTTACGAGCAGACAAGTCTAAGGAGAAAAATAGCAGGACCCTCCAAAATGTTAATGATGGTGAACTCTGGATATGGCAAAATAGATAATTTAAAATGTTTTCTTTGTCCGTGTTCCAAATTTTTCACAATGCATGCATGATGCTTTTGTCATAAGAAACAAAAACAGTTCTTGGGGCGCCTGGGTGGCTCAGTTGGTTAAGCGACTGCCTTCGGCTCAGGTCATGATCCTGGAGTCCCGGGATCGAGTCCCGCATCGGGCTCCCTGCTCGGCAGGGAGCCTGCTTCTCCCTCTGACCCTCCCCCCTCTCATGTGCTCTCTCTGTCTCAAATAAATAAATAAAATCTTAAAAAAAAAAAAAAAAAAGAAACAAAAACAGTTCTTTTTCAATCATGTGAAAGAAACATTATTAGACAGGCTTTGTCCTTCACCCTGTCCCTTCAGTAACATAGGACATTCGTCTTGGCTCTAAGATTGAAAGAACCCATTTCAGATGCCTGCCTGGCTGCTCAGTTGCACTAAATATGTCGAGAGAGCGGGGTCTTGGCCAGGGCTTGGAGAGGTGGGGCTTGGTGGACCCTGGGTTTGACCTACTCCTGCCTGAGCGTTGTCTTGCCTGGAGGGGGCACCTGTTGGCTCCTGGGCCCACACACGACCCAGCAATTCCACCCCTGGGAATCTAAAGCCACAAAAGGGGCAGCCTCTTAGCGATTTCCTCCCTGGAAGTCGATGGCTGCCGTTGAGGCCTGGCCCCAGAGCTGGGTTTTCAGAACCAGAGTACAACAGGTGAGTGTGGCAGGGATGGGCAGCTTCTTGCAAGAGCCACCCATGTCCAGTGGCCTTGCTAAGGTGTTTCCACCGTTGGGTGGGGACCCAGGTTCTCATCAGTGATGTAAGGTTTGGATGCTTCCAGAGAATTCTTGGGACAGATCTTGGAAGAGGAGGTGGTAGAGAGAGAAAGAAGATACGTACGGGTGGCCCCATGGGCCCTGGCAGTCCCGGGGGCCCCAGAAGTCCGCTCGGTCCAGGGGGGCCTGGTGGCCCCGGCGGGCCTTGGATGCCGGCCTGGCCCTGTTCACCCTGATGTTGGTGGAAACAAGAGTTAGAGGAGAGCCCTGGGGCTGGGCAGCAGCTCCCGCCCCAGTACCATGCACCCGGTGAAGGCCCCGTGGTGGGCTCTGGTGGGCAGGCGGTGTGGCGTGGTGGTGATGACCGCATGCAGGGACCAGTGGCAGCAAGGAGATGGCCAAGACACTAGGCCCCCAAGAGTTGGGGGTTTGTCCAGAGAGGACCTGCTGCACAAGCAGCTGGTCCCAGAGCAAGAGCCCTGCTGGGGCAGAGGCAGAGGAGTGAGCGAGATGACCCTGCCCGACCGCCAGCACGCTCCCGGCCCACTCAGATGCTGGGGGTCTGGCCCAGGGGGTCCTCAGCCCAGCCTGCCTCGGCCCCTCCCTCCGTGTGGCAGTCACATCCTCTGTCTACGCTGGGCCTCCTAGGCATTCAACGACAGCAGCAGTCCCTTGTTTCTGCTGTCTGATTCTCTGGCCCTGAGTGTCATAGGGGGTCCTTAGGTCAGAGGCCACAGAAGTTGGTGTGGTTCACTAAACCACTGGGCACGCGATCTTGTGTAAAACACTTGGACTGGGGGCTTCTGATGTCACACTGGGAGCCTTGGCGCTCGGGGCCCATGTCCCCGCGGGCAGTCACACCCTTCGGGCTTGGCCTGGGTTCCCCAGGTGCCTCAGCCCCCGCTCCCCCATCCTGTCTGCGTGCGGCCTGCTTCGGTCACTTCCGTCATCTGTGCCTGGCCTCAGAGCACAGTTGAGTCTGCAGCCCTGAGCTTGGCTGATTTTGACACCTGCCAAGTGCCGTATGCCTACATGGGTCCCGATTAGTATTCTTCTGCCCCGCCCCCACTCCTCAGTCAGCTGCTCTGAGCCCAGCCCTCGTCACCCACTGTGCCTGTGTCCAGGCTGGGCCAAGGGCCCAGGGAGCTAGGGGTGGCATTGTGTTTCCTCAGGAGGAGGAGAGAGCCTGGTCCATGTGACCCACATCATGGGGCCGGGGGCCAACCAGAGTCCTCCTAGATCTAGACCGAAGCAGTCATGTTATTTTCTAAGTGAGCTCTCCAGGGACCGTCTGGGCTCAGCTCCTGTGAGAAGGGGCCGATCGCTGCAGACTGACTAAAGCAGAACAGCCTGGCAGGCGGGTGAGCTCCAGGCTGGGATGCAGGGGGACACGGCCGGCTGGAGCATTAGGCCGGCTAGCCCTCTCGGGGCGCTCTCAGCAGCCCTCTGTGACAGGAACAGGGGGCTGAGGATTCCTGCTGCAACCCCACGGGAGGAAAAGATGAGTAGAAACAAGGGGTGAGCAATCTCAGAGTGGGAACTGTGGGATTCCAGCAGCACCTGCCAGAACCTCGCTGGGCTGGGACATCCTAGCGCAGATGGCACCCAGCATGGTCATGCTGGGGCCCGGGCTTCATCCTGCTGTACCCTCTGAGAAGCCACTCAAGGGCACAGAGGAAGAGGCGGGGGCAGAAATGGGTCACGAGTCCCATTCCAAAGAAGAGTAAACAGGCTCAGAGAAGTTGAGCTCCCTGACCGAGGTCACGTGGAGAATTCCGTGGGGAGCCAGGACCCAAACCTGGAACTCCAGACTGTTCTTATTCATTCCAAATAAGCCCCCAGAAAAAAAAAAAAAACAACTGCTCACTGTCCAACTTTCTGCACTTTGGAAATGACCTCCAACACCATCTGCTAAGTACATCATATTTCATATAGCTTCCTCTTTCAGCAAATGTCAGACTCAATGTTTAAGCATCTTACAGAGCCTGTAAAACAATATTGGTTTATTGATAGGAAATGGGCAAGCCTTTTTATGTCCCATGATGGCCAGCAGCAGAAAAACCCTAATCTCCAGGCAGACTCTGCAGCAGGCAGAGTAGGGGCCCCTATGCTTCCCTCTCTGCTTTGGAAACCAGGTCAGGGCAGCACAGAAAGTTCTGGCTCGCCCACGCCTTGCTCTTGAAAAGGGAGGGAGTAATGTGCAGGGGCCTGGATGGAATCTTGGGCACCCTCTCAATTTCTTCATCCGTAAGGTGGGCATGACAATGACGGCCCCTGCACCCCGGGGTGGCCAGTGTGACATTACACCAGATAATCCATGTGGCATTCTTATCGCAGCGCCTGGAGCCCAGGAGGTGGCTAATGCAACTAAGGCCAGGAGGTGGCTCCTGGGGGCTGAGGCGAACGGCCAGTCTGAGAAGCAAGGACAGCTCTTCTGGAATGGGGTCTGACACAGGTAGGGGCAGGTGACGGGGGCAGGGGCTGGTGCCTCTCTGAGCTGCCAGGGGGTCTCCTGAAGAGCCATGCTTGGAGTCAGCGTTGGGAGCACATGGAGGCTCTCGAGGATCTGGCTGCTGTAATGGGATACGCAGGCTCGGGTAGCGCATGCACCATGTGTCCTGCTGTATTTTTAGCTGTTAATTGGAGGGATTTTTCAGCCTCATTCAATCAGGAGCCTGAACTGCTGGCCTCTGGGCTCCTGACTCCTGAGTATGGCCAGATAGTGGCTCTGGACCCTGCTGTCCGGCTTTCAGAGAACATCTCAGAGCCCCGCCCTTTCCAGCATCCCCGCGACCATGGGGGTAACCCCTGCACAGCGTAAGGAGGGCTGGGGGTGTAAGTGGCAGCCGTGGGCCGCCTGGCCTAGAATCCAGCTGCAATGCCTATGCCTGGATCCTTGGCTCTGCAGTCTCTTGTTTTCTGTTATTTGTAACCTGGTTCTATCCCAGCCTCCTTGGGTGCGTAAGGCAGGAAGAAGGAAGCAGTTGCTCACAATGATTACACTTGTTGGGTGTGGGCTACATTCCCTCTGCAAATTCCCTCACTCCTCAAACTCAGGCGACAAGTGATCAGGTGCTAAGCAATCCTTTTCTAAATATAAAGGGTGTAGGTCCAACCGAGGGAGCCACGAGTGTGGGGTCTGAAGACCTGGTTGCCGGCTTCCCATTCTGCCTCTCGCTGTTTGTGGGATCTTGGGCACAAATTCACTCCTCTGGGCCTCAATTTACGAATAGCACTGGAACCACACCAGGAGCTATCCGAAGCGCTCTGCACACACAATAACCCTATGCAGTAGGAATGGTTAATACCCTCATTTTACAAATGGAAAAGCGGAGGCACAGAGAGGTTAAGCAATTTGCATCCAACCCCACAGCTCATAAGCGTCTGAGAAGCTGGGTGCCCTGCAATCTACTGGGTGTGTGACCTCAGGCAACCGCCTTCATGTCTCTGAACCTTGAGTCCTCATCTGTGAAATAAGCATGATCGTGCCTGAGTCATAAAACGGTTGAGAGAATGAAATGAAATCAGACCTGTCAAAGGCGCAGCCCAGTGGCTGGCACCCACCACCCAGTGGTGGCTGTCGCTGTTTTGAGGAGCAGGGGTGTGTGGTGTTGGTGGATCTCCTGGGCTCGGGGGTTGTGTATGTCCACATCTGTGACATTCACGGGTCCCGTTCTGTCTAATTGACTTGAACTGAAGTAGAGTGGGGTTCTGCCTTTGTCTACCGTCCCAGCTGGCCCGTCGGGGCCCGGAGACCTGCCAAGCCCCTGGGGACGCCACACGTGGTCTGGACAAAGGGGTGGTGTCTACCTGGAAGGTCCGTCTTTTTATGACTGGGGGCGGAGCCAGTCGCACTGAATTGAGGAGAGGCAGCAGCTGAGGAGAGAGATGAGTTGGAAGGCCAGAGGGCAAAGGCCAAAGATCGCAGATGTTCAGAAGGATGCCGAGTGTCGCCAGGAAGGCAGGGTGGCCAAGTGGGAGGGGAGGAGAGGAAGAGAGAAGAGTGATTAGCAGGCATGAGGCACAGGGAGGGAAGGTGTCGATGGCGCCCTCTCGCGGCTTGAGGGGGCGCAGTGCCGAGCTTGCCCTTGGATGGCACACCATCCGGGAAGGTGGAGTGTGGCCCTGAGGGTGTCGGCCAGCAGCACCCCCTGACTGGGAGAGACTGGCCTCCTGACGCCCACCATTGCACTGTTGGCCCAGCTTGTCCCTGGCTGAGGACGGGGGCTGCTGGGCTGAGGGCAGCAGATGCAGAAGCTCTGGTCGGGAGCCACAGGACCAGCTAAATTGGTACTCAAAGCCAGGCTGGTGTGTGGCAACCACTGGGTTCTTTTTTTGGTTGAACGAGAAAGGCTAGCGTCAGCGAATCTGAGGAGGATGGTCAAGGACAGTGCCAAGTCGGGCTCCTGGGGGCTGAGCCGGCCGAGGGTGTGGCCAGCGTGAGCACAAGCTAAGTGCTGCTGAGGTCTCCCACTGGGGCTGGTGGGTTTGGAAAATAAAGGCTGGGCCAGGATGTCTCCAGCATGTTCAACCACTTTTGGGGGGGAGGCAACGTTCAATCACATTATCTAATGTGATTTTCATTTTTGGAAATTCTCCTTGCTTCCAGTCTCTCTACCAATGGAAGCTGAGTGCCCTGCGGCTTTAGGAAGTGGTTAGAGCCCATGTGACAACAAAGATGGTGTATAATTGACCTCTTGCTTTTGAAAGCATTTTAACTCACACGTGGCCCCTGGGATGAGTGCTAAGAACCGGGGGCCACCTGGGCTGAGAACTGGGAGCCCAACTGTGGCCTTTCCAGGTCCCTGCTGTCTTTAGGGGCCTTGGCTGCCCCGAGAGCCCTGCCACCTCCCACTGTGGGGCCCAGGGACGTGCAATGTTGGGCTCTGCGTTCAGGGAGTCTCTTAGCAGAGAGGGGCCCGGAGACCTTCCAGAATCCACAAACCTTGAGGGTAATGATCTGGTTGGAGTGCAGAGCCGAAAGAGTGCTGCTTAGGTGCTCCTGGCGTGGGAGGGGACCGAGGTGGCAGAGACAGGGTGACCGGGGCATGAGTGCTGGAGCCCACAGATACCAGGTGCCTTGCTCTCTGTCCCAGGGTACTCCGTCCCCCCACTCCCCACCCCTCCTCTCCCTCCCTCCCTGGGATGCTGCAGGCTGGAGCAGAGGCAAGGACCAGCCTGGATCTCCTGTTATCCTGTGAGCCTGGAGGCCTGCCACCCACACCGTTCCCACAGAGCCCTGGGAAAACCAACAGGCCCCTCTCCCTAGATGCGCCCTTGCTTTCCTACCCACTTCCAGATCAACAGGGGGGTGCCCGCTGCCTTGCTCTGTCCAACAGCTGAGCACCCAAACCTGTTCTCACCCCTGCCTGACTTGTTCCCTACCCTGCCATGGCCGGCCATAGCTTTGCTGCACTCCGTGGCCAAGGTGCTTCTGGAGCCTTCTATCCCTGCTCTCTCACTCTCTTCCTCCCCGTTCCCCCCCCACACACACACATTCACTAAGGATGGACGATGACACACTGCCAATTACGTGTCTGCTGTTGTGTTGTCTTTTGTGCCGGGGGATGCTGTCTTTCTTTCGGGTAACATAACAATCCTGTGAGTCCATCATTTCAAATCAACACAGCTGACCTTCTATTATTGTGTCAGGACCAGGCGGGCCGGAACACCAGGGCCCCTGCGTCCCCAGAGCACACGCCGCTCACTGGGCTGTCTGTGCGGCTACCGGCCGGTGCGCCCTGCCCGGGGCTGAGCCCAGCTTTGGCCTCCACCCCTGCCCCAGCTGCTTGTGGTGAAGACCCCCTGCAGCCTCTCCCTGGCCCGGGAACCCAGGGGTCAGAGTCCGAGCGGCAGGGCACTGCTAGAAAGGCCTCCCGGTGGCCTTCCGGAGCCGTGCTGACTCTGAGCCTGACTCGCACTTGTCTCCACTTCCCTGGTCTCCTTGCCTGATGGGGTGGCAGCCCGGGAAGCCACATCCTGTGTGTGCTTCTGGGCACAGTGAGGCCCGTGGCACAGGGATGGGCACACAAAGATACTAGGGTCTGAGAGCGACATGTTTCTGGTCCCAGCTCACTGGGGCTCTCACCGGAGGGCCCACATCTTCGCCCTCCCTGTCCCAAGAATGACCCCTTACGACTGGTGCCCACCTCTGCAGCTTCCTAGTAGGACTGCAGCAGGCTTTGGGCTCTATATCTGGGGACAAAGCAAAGCAAAGGAAGGAGCTGGGGCCTGGGGGTGACTGGGAGACCATCCCAGCTCAGAAATCCCCACCCTGTTTTGGAGAAGGCAAAGCAGAGACTTTATCCTTGAATCGATACAACCAGCCCCCAACAAAGGAGGCAAAGCAGAGACTTTATCCTTGAATCGATACAACCAGCCCCCAGTTATCTCCCACCATTGAGGGTTGGGTCATCTGCAGCAATGACTAACCCAAAAGTCCCTCTGATTCAGCCGGGGCAGGCAGCCAGACATGCACACCCAGTCACACACGCACGCCGGGCAGGGAGTCAGACCCACAGACTCACATAGCTGCACGGCCTTACAGAGAGGGGATGTGCAGAGGAGACGCAGGGCCAGACACCCGGAGTTCCAGATGCACACACACGCTGGAAGGTTTGCACGCCGGCCAGCGCAGGCGCAAACACCCGGAGACACGCTCGGGTGGGGGAACACGGGCGCTGGAGGCCAGCTCTGCACAAGCACGCTACGGACCACCGGGCACACTCCTGGGGGCCGGCTCCCCCTCCCCCACAGCTGCTCTGGGGCTGCTGAGTACAGAAGGGGGTGTATGCTTCTGTTCCCCAACCTCTGTGGGTGCTGGGGGCCCCAGGTGGATGAGGCTGAGCTGGGGGCGGTGCCCCAGGGATGGGTCAGTTTTAGGGGTTCACTTACCCGATGTGGGTACTCTCCACACTGACCCTGGGGAACGGAGGGAAGGAGAAGAGGGCGTTAGGCACTCTGGGGAAATTGCGCCTCAGAAGCATCCTCAGGACCACACGTACTCTCCACCCACCAGCCCTGCACTGGTCCTGGATTTAACTGTCTGAGGCAGGAGAACTAACTCCCTCCCTCTCCCCTGGCTGGCAGCAGAGAAGAAACCCCGAAGGCATGCCTGGACACGGCCCCATGGAACACAGGACAGGATTCTGCTGCCATATCCCACTTGCCATGACCGCAGTCAGGAGTTATGCTCCATGCCCGGCTGGAGGTAGCTTCCAGAAAGGTCAACCCTCTGGGTGGGCCCACGCAAGGGCCCTGAGCAGGAGCCCCTGGATGGGAAGTGCAGATATGGAGGCGGGCTGTGGGCCCTCGGAGATGCTTTCTCTGAGGTGGGGGTGCCAGGTCCCTGTACCGTTCGCCCAAGGCCAGCCCAGCAGAGTCTCCATTAGAAATTTAAGGGAATGGAGAATGTACGAGGCCAGGAAGGGAGTCAGGCCAGTGGTTTACAAAGGGACACCTCAAAACCCTAGAGGCGCATGACGGTGCATCAGGAAGCATGCTGGGCAGAGAAGGAGTCTGCGGAGGGCCAGGCTCCCAGCCACCCTTCCTCCAGAGCACCCTCCCTCTTCTCTCTCACCTACTGCGGCACCACCAAGGATGCCCTGGCTCTGGGGAGAAACACTAGCATTTGAAAATAACCGCTCTGGACCACTTTCTACTGTTAGGGAGGCGGTTTCCTGTGATGAAAATTCTAGGAAACCTCTATCAGGCTTACCTTTTCTCCTTTTTGTCCTTGAGGTCCCTATGAAGAGACAGAAATGGCAGAGTTAGAAAGTGAAGCTAAGGCCCCAGGGGCCCGAAGCCTCCCTGCTGGGGAACTTGAAGGCGAGGTACCAACCGGCTGTCCTCGGGGACCCGTCAGGCCCTGCGGGGAGGAAACACACACAGGTCAGTGGGCGCACTGAGGCCGGGCAGGGGCAGAGGTGTGGGCCCCGGGTGGGGATCGTGCTGGGCCCGGGGCTAATGCACAGAGTCCTGAAGGCTGGCCTCCACCACCCATGGCCTGGTCCTCCTGTGCCCGAGATGTTCTAGGTGGTGTGGCCCGCCCAGCAAGTCTCAGCTTCCTCCTCCATTGTGGGTGTGACTAGGTGACTGGTGCCCGCACGGGGCCGTGATAAAGAGAAGACACCATCCCTCCTCGTTCCTCCATTGTCCCCTCATGGGCCAGCAGCGAAGGAGACTGCATGGACACCTCAGGGGGTGCTCTGCTGTTGTGGGCTGTCCTGCCTCACGCATGGCCATCTCCTCATGGAGCCAAGAAGTAGAGGTCCAAAGCCTCTAGGGGACGCTGGCACATTCTGTCTTCTGCTCAGCACTGCCTCAGCATGAAACCCACTGAGCCAGAAGGGCTTCGGGGTACATGCGGGGGGCTTTGGAGAAACCTTTGGTGAAGAGAGGAAGCAGGAGGTTGGCGACTTGAGCCATGTTCTGGGCCCCTCAGAGGAACAAAAGGGGTCTTGGGGCTCCTTCTGGGGTGTCTTGTCAAGTTTGCAGGGCTGAGAAAGAAGTCTGGGTTCAGGGTGGACCCCTGTCCTTTGAGGAGGACACAGGGTTCAGCTGGTTGTCTCAGGAGCTGACCTGAGGCTGGTGTGGAGGGAAGAGGGGAGGACACGCGCCTCGTGCTTTGAGGACCTGCTCCGAGGCTGGTGTTCAGGATGTGCTGGACTCACACCCACACTGGCCCACGGAGAAGACGCTCACGTCAGCTCCACCTCCCAAACGAGGTGATGGAGACGGGGCCCTGCAGCTCAGTGAGTGGGGGGCGCTGGGACGAGAGCTAGGGTCCACTGACTGCAAAAGTCCAGCTGTTTACACTCCGCCACGCTCTCCGAACTGAGCTGGGGCTCAGAAGGCAGGGCTTCTAGACTTGGCTGGAGTCACAGGCAGTGTCTCAGCCTCTGGGGCCCTGAGGTCCCCTCCAGCCACCATCCTGAGGATCCACCTGCTGGACCCGTCTCTTTGGGATCTTCCTGCAGGGGCTCATGTGGGTGGGAGAAGAGCCTCTCTTGCTCCCCGACTTGTCAACTGGACCAACCAACAAACTGGGAAATTCCCAGCAGGTTCATGGGAGGGGACAAGTGGCCTTTGGGACAATCCATGGGGCGCCGCAGCCCATCCGGCTGACCAGGTGTTCAGCATAAGGCCCACAGAACATGCCGCATCTGGCAGGGAAGCAGCCTGCAGGTGACCGGGCCGCCCCCTCTCATGAAAAAGAGAGGCAAGGGATGAGAAGGGGAGGGCCAGCGGCTGAGGACAGCAACACAAAGGTTTGGGGCTGTAGGACCTTGGAGCTTCCAATCCAGATGTCCCTGATGGTGGCCGTGGCACAACAGCGGTCCCCAGAGGTATTGCGTTGACACCACACAGTTTTATTTCAGTGGATTGCCAACATTTAAGAGCAAGAGAGTACGACACAAATCTGGATTTCAAGTTTCTCTTAAATATTTCAAGGTCCAACAACACACGGCACCAATTAGCTCTAGCTGAGTAGCGGCTGCCCCCGTAAGATGGGTCACAGGTGGTGCGCTAAGGTGCTTGGTCCCTCCCCTGTGCCGGGCACTGTCGTGAGCGCTTGGTGTTAATGACATCCTCCCACCCTTAGGGCAGCTCTGAGCAATGGGATAAGAAGTGCCTTCAGAGTCCCAGCTCTCCTTCCTGGCACTTGTGGGATCCCCGATCTTGTCTATACCTTACATTCAGTTCTGGGGGCTCCTGTGGGGTGGGTGGAGCCGGGGTGATCCCCTTTTGAGGTGAGGACACTGGCTAAGCATGTGAGAGCGAGCCCTAGCCCCCCATGTTGGATGCCTAGCAGAGGGGAAACCATCTGGGGATGGAGGTGAGTGGGAGACAGACAGATGATAAGCAGGCCAAGATAATTACACTAGACAGTGTATTGAATTAATAGTGCGGGGTCCCTGTGCTAAGCCAAACAGAAGCCTAATGGTTCTGGGGCCTGTCAGATTTTGATGGATGACTAAGAGGCAGACAGGGGATCTATTACACTGGTGTGGGCTCATGGGACTTGGGATGACCTCACCCTTCCCCCTGCCAAGTTAGTTCTGTCCCCCAAACAGACAGGGGAGACTCATGGGTGGCTCAGTGGGGTGGGGCAGTGGGATGGCAGAGGAGGTGCCCCATAAAAGGGTTCCTTTCCCTCAAGACAAAGGGCTCTGGCAGCAGAAAGGAATGTGGTAAGACCCCACCACATGGGTCTCAATCCCAGCTCTGTGATTTAGAAGCTGTGTAGCCTTGGGCAATATACTCAACCCCTCCGTGCCTCGATCTCCCCTTTTGTAGAGTGGGGATAATAAGCCGTTACGAGGATTACAGAACAGTGCCTAGTTGACCATCTTATTACTTCTGGGTTGCCACGGACTGTGTTACGGTTAGTGTCAGGCCACTTGGAAGGGAAAGAGGGTGGCAGGGAGGGGTTGAGGGAGGAAGCACCCCAAACTCCTGGCATCTAAACCCCAATGCCTCTGGAACAATGGCAGCATGGAAGGGTTCCTGCCTTGGTCTCCACGGCTTCCCACATGTGCTGAGCAATGCTTGGAACAGGGGAGGGGCAATAGGACATGCACCTGCAGTGGGGCTGGCCGTGATGGACAGGAAAGCTGGCCGGACACCACGGCCTCCAGAGCCTCACTGCCCTTTTTCTGTGGCTATTTTAAGGACTTGCCTGCCTCAGGCCTTTGCACGTGCTGTTCTTTGCACGTGCTGTTCTCCCATGTCCAGAATGCTCTTTCCCATTCCTTTTTCTCTCAGTTAAACCCTCATCCCTCGGGCCGCAGTTCACGTCTTTCTCAGAAAGCCTCTCTGACCCTCAGCCTGGGTGAGGAGCTGTTATGCTGGGGTTTCTCAGGCTAACTGGCACGGCCTTTTTATAGAACGACTGCCAAGGTCATTTGTTAATTATGTGTCTGATTGTTTAACTGCATGCTCCCCTGCTAGATGGTGAGCTACAGGATGGCTTACTCCTGTCTGTACCCCTGCTACCTGGCACAGTGCCCAGCGTAGTGCAGATACTCAGTAAGAATGTGTTAAGGGAAGGCAGGAGGCGGGGAGATAGGGAAGGTGAGAGGGAAAGAAGGAGGGAGAAAGGCAATAAAATGTGGAGGGAAGGAATTAGAGAATTGGGCTTGGATCCTGTTTCTGATGCTCCCTAGCTGTGTGACTTAAGGCAAGTTACTTAGACTCTCTGAGCTTCAGTTTCCACCGTGTCAAGGGGCTACTAGTAGGACCTGGAGCACAGGCTTCTGCTGAGGATGAAGGAGATAAGACACGCATAGGACTTAGCTCCGTGCCCACCACATAGAAAACCCTCAAGGAATGTTAGCTGGGACTGAGTTAACTGGATAGGCTGAAGTCCAGAGGGTGCTGAGTTGCTAAAGGTCCAGTGCAATTTAGGGGGAGCTGGGGCGAAGGTCAGGTCTCCTTTCCCATCCACGAAGTCAGCCACCTCTGCACCCCGGTTGTGAGCGGAGCGTGTCCTCATGCCTGCACTTGGAGCAAGACGTGCACCAGAGCCGGGCTGGACAGGGAGGCGGGGAGCCTGCCATGCTGCACATTCCAGGCCCTTCTGCAGGAGGGGGGTCCTCCCAGTATAGAGATGACCACCCGGGGAGGCTGGATAGCATCCCAGCTAGGGGCTGGCCCATCTACTTTTAATGGCCCATCCCTTCCATGGAGAACTGGCCCCCTCCCCTGGAGGGGGCGGCACTGGAGAAGGGGAGGTTCTCCCTTCTGGAAGGAGTGGCCTGCCTGGGGGAGACTGTAGAGACAGGAAATCCCTTTACAAGGCCTTGCAGAATGTGGAAGGGGCTGGGAGGAAGGTGGGGACAACCGTCTGACTCTCCAAGTCGGCTTTGTGCCCAGCTGGGACAGGAGTACTTGGAGTCCTGGGGCAGCCCCCCGCAGGGCCAGCACTAGGAAATCCGGTTGCAGAAAAAGAGCTAGATGGGCTCCTCCCCCCACCCCCCCACCCCCGAGTTTACATTCAGCCCTGAGGCAAAGGCATGGCAGTTTGGGAGCACCTGCCTCTCCGGACCTCCTTTTCCTCATTTTTCAGGTGGAGAAGCCCCCTGCCCACCTCTCCCCCCTGCGTTGATGTGAGGACCTAGGGGTTTCGTTGTATACAGCTGGGGAGTGACCGTGGGGGCAGCCACTTGACGGTCCCTGTGGGCCCCCTTTGCAGGGCGGCACTTGGCTGCAACCAGGCTGACCCCCCACCCCTCAAGGGAAGGCAGGAAAGCTGGGGTCTTACCATCTTCCCTTTGGGTCCGGGGTGGCCCTGGAAGGAGAAGAGTGTGAGTGCCGGGTACACTGCACCCTGAAACCCCCGCCCTGCCCCCTCCATCACCCACTGCTCATTTTGCACACGTCTTTCCTCCTCACCTGTCCTCTTGCTCCCCGTCCTGGACCTGCTGGCTCAGGCGTGGTCACCCGCCCCTCCCCCTTTGCTGGGTCTTACTTAGCAGCTGGCAACCCCTCAAGAGCCCCTGCCCCATGCACACACCCAGGGCAGCTTGGAGGCACGCCGGGTCCTGGGGGCTGAGTGGGAAAGACCACCAAACACCTCGCTGTGCTCAGCTCTGGCCTGCAGTGGGGAACTGACCAGGTGGGTGGCCAGGCCCTCACAGCGGCGTGCTGGGCTCCGGGGCGAGACGAGTGTGTGGGGCTGGGCTTGGCACTTGTTGCCTTCCCTTGTCATCTCTGAGGACATCAGAGGGGTCCAGCTCTCCCCCGGCTCACTCCGTCCGAGGAGTGGGGTGGGGTCTCCCTTCCGCCATGAATATTTGGGTCTGGGACCCAAGCCCAAAGGATTAAAATGGACAGACAGAGGAGCTACAGATGGGGACACAGACTCCATCTGGACATGGGTGTGTGGGGGGTCCACCAGGGCGGGAGACCCGAGGAGACAGGGTGGCGCAGGCAGCTGCCTGGTGGTGCTGGGGAGCAGGTGTGGACCAGTGCCCACGCTCCACTTCAAGTCAGCGGCTTGAGCTCTCCACCCGTCTTCCCTCCCAGCTGCCTCCCCGCCTCACCCCCTACCGCAGCCCCTTCGAAGGGCGCCTCAGAAACACCAGCTTCTAGGGGTAGTTCTTGCTCCAGACGCCGAGAACCCAGCTTGGCGGCCGTGGACTTGTGCCCAGGGGAGGCCCACTGGGGGCTGGGGCAGCTCATTCCAATGGCCCCTCTCCACCTCACATTGGCAACGATTTCCCGCCCCAGGAACATCCATTCTCTCTGGAGTTTCTCCCACTGAGTAAGGGTCTTGCAGAAGGACTGAGGACCCAGGGTTAGTGACCTGGATCAAGCGAGGGAGAGGAGCTCACAGCCCGAGAGGGTCCACTCACCGGTTTGCCATCGAGCCCAATGGGACCCTGAAAGGGAAAGAGGCCCCGCGTCAAGACAAACAGCACAGGTCTCCTGCCAAAGAGGCGGCCCGGGGCGGGGTTTAAGGGCGCACAGGTTCTGGACTCCAAGTTGGAGTTCAAGTGTCTGCTTGACCACTTACTGGTTGTATGACCATGGGTAAGCTTAAGCCTGTTTCCTATCCTACCATGGGGATAATAGAGTCTTCCACGAGGGGTCTTTGTGAGGAGTGAACGAAATGCCACCTGGCCAGCACCCGGCACGAGGGACAGCCTGAGGGATGACAGTCACCATGGCGATCACAGACCTACCTCCTCCTCCTTACCCCGAGTGGAAAGTGAACCTGGTGTTGCTAGGAAGCCTGGGGCGGGCTAGCACCAAGGCCCGGGGAAAAGGAGAGCTAGTTGCTTTCCTGCCCTCCTCTTAGAACCTGTCCTCGACCCCTCGGGCAGGGGTCACCGGGCATCCAGATGGTCACCTGACCGCCTCCTGCAGGCGGGTCTCCTCTCCAGACCAGGTCGGAGGTTGCTTCCCTGAGGTGCATCATCTGTCCCACCTTCCAGTGTCCCGCTGAGGTTAACCCAGCCTGTGACTTCCCCCGCCTGTCCCTGTCCTGCTGTCCCTTCATTTCCCTATGACTGTCCCTGTCCTGTCTTGCACTCTGGGCTGAGTGTCAGCTACTCTCCTGAGTGGCTCTCTGGGAGAGGCTGCAGGAAAGGGTCCTTACTGACCAGAGTTGGAAGGTCAAGAGGAGCTTGAGGGCTGGCCCCACATGAAGTTTAACCCAGCCAGGCCCAGGGGTCACTGGGGACATGGCTCATCTGGGCCCTCCCTACTTACCGGAAATCCAGGGAAACCTCGAGTGCCTGGCTGACCCTGGAAAGAGCAGGAGAGGAGTGAGGATGGGTGAGGAGGGGATGAAGCTAGACCGAGTCCCCTTTGCTCTCAGAGGGTCTGTGGGTTCCCTCCCACTCCTCTGGGGTCCTCCGGGGGAGATACTCCCCGTGGTGAGCTGGCTAGCGGGGAGGCTGGAGAAAGATGGAAAGAACACCAGAGGAAGCCTCCTCCGGGGCCTGGGGAAAAGGAGGGGCCCAGCCCTTTTCGGGTCCTCCATGCCCTGAACCCCGACATATGAGCAGGTGGCTGGAGGGCACGGACAGTGGGGACCGGCCTGGTGTACCCTGAACTCCCGGCTGCGATCTTCTGAGTCCTTTTTATTTATACAGTCGTTGCCCAGGGCTACTTACATGAGGATGGCTTGCATAGCAGAAGCTGACCTTCAGAAGGTGTGTTTTCAGGCCACACGGGTCAGATCTCTCATTTTTCTCTTGCCCTGGCCCAGCAGGTCCCGCCCCCAGTTGGGCAATCTCTGGGTCCCCCAATCTTTGTGCCCATTCACGCCCATTCTCTTGCAGGTGCAGAGGGCCACTCGGGTCGGTGTTTGGGCTGGAGACTAGAAGCCGCCGGTCACAGCCCGGTGGCCTCCGGTCCAGACTCAGGACAACAGAGATGTGCTGAGGTCAGAAGCAGCGTGGGGCTGAGCAGACCCAGGGCTGGGGAGGGCTGAGCGGGAGGTCAAAGCCAGTGGTCCCTTCTTCTCACGTGTCATTCACAGCCGACCCGGTCTCACTAGCCCTGCTCCTGCCCCATCTCCCCTACTCCTCGCTCAGGCATACGGTTCCCCTGCTTTCCCCAGACATACCCCATCTTTCCCACTGTCAGCCCTCAGCTAGGAGTCTCCCTTTGACTGAGGCGGCCACAGTGTCCTCTCAAGCTTGGGCCTCCAAGTCTGGCAGGCTGAGCTATAGTCCTTCCTCCAGCAGCCTCAGCTGGGTGACTAAGTCCTTAGGCTTCCCTTTCCTCGGTCCTATAGCATGGGGACAAGAGCGTAACCTCACAGGGTCACTGAATCACATCCGATTGTACTCGTGAAGCCTGCTGAAATGGTGGCTGCCACTAATCCATCAATATTTGCTGGATTGAACCGAACCAAGGAGCGCCAGAATAAAGCCTTCGGAGCCATGGACGATGGGCCCTGCCAAGTGGCAGTTTCCGAATCAGACCCCGGCGGGAGGGAGATTTCTCCACATCCATCTGCTGTGAAGTGGGAACCAGGCTGCTTGGGTCTTCCTGGAAGCCACGGACAGGAGTGCCCAGAGGCCTCTGCTCGGGGGACACGGCTGAGTGGGACGGGGACCCTGCCATCAGGGTGGGAGCGTCAGTCAAGTGGGGACAGACCTGCAGTGTCCTACGGGGTCAGGATGGGTTTGTGGCAGGCAGCCCAAGGGCAGGAGGGAGGACATGCCACTCAAATGTCGGAGAGCCCCGGGCTCACTTACTCTCTTTCAAGGGTAAGTGATGCTAAGAATAGCACTAAGGAGAAAACCCGGAAACCCTGCGATGTGGCCTCTGGAACCTCGCAGTGTAAACTTTCAACTACTCCGAATGCTGAGAGGCCCGAGGACAAAGGTCAGGAGGGGAGGATTCCAAGAAACATCTTCATGTCCTGCTCAGGATAATGTTTACACGGTAGGGATAAGCACATGGTTTGCTAATTACAGAGCCTGCCCGGGAGCAGGATGCATCTCCCCAACTCAGAGCCAAATCCGGGGCTAACCAAGGCTTTTTCGGGATTTTGGGAAGAATGTTGTCACTGACCAAATGGAAACTGGGACTCTACTTCCTGGAGATGCTGGGCTGGGTAAGGCACTCGGGGAGGCCTGGAACTGGATTTTAATTACGTCTCTTCAGTTATAACCTGAAGTTGGACCTCTCTTGCAGTGTTTATTGGCCGGTCATTTACTCGTGAACTGCCTGTTTGTGTTCCTTACCAAAAATTTCCCCTCGCTTGTTTGTTTCCCATTGGCCCGAGGACAGCTCTTTGTCAAGGTCGGTAACTCTTTGAGGGTCACGTGCATCGCCAATAGTCCTTCCAATTTGGCATTTGTTTTTTTCATGCTGTATTTCCTGCCCGATGGAAGTTTTGCATTCAGGTGGACACACTTATCAATCTTCTTCTATGGCTCCTGGGTTTTATGCCATGTTTCCAGGGGACCTCCCAGTGAGGACTTCATAAATGTCTGCTCACGCTTTGTCCTCGTATTTTATGGTTTCATGTTTTACATCTAAGTATTTTATCCATTTGGTATTTATTCTGATATAACAAGTGAGGTACAGATTCACCTTTTTTTTTTTTTTTTGGTTTTACCTTTTGGTAAATGGCTTGTCCCCTGTCTCAGCATCATCTCTTAAACAATCTATTTTCCTCTTCCTACTGTGAAATGAAACCTTTACCGCGGACTAACTTCCCAGATGCGTTTGGCTTTATTTCTGGCCTTCCCATTCTGTCCTATTTAACTGCTCTGTTTTTATAATACATTGGATATCGAGTAGAACAACCAGTCCTGTCCTCCCCTACTCCCCTTACTCTATTTTTCAGAAATTTCCTGACATCCTTATGAAAGCTTACTTTTTTCTTCCAAATGAAATGAATATTATTCTGTTGGACTCCAACCCCATAAGAAATTCACTGGGATTGGGATCATATTAAAATTATGGATTATAGATTTATTCATAGATTAATAATGCATTAATACTATGTCCTTCCATGTAAGAACAAGGGGGATAAGCTTTACATTGCTCTCCCAAATCTCTTCCCTTAATTCAAGGCCAGGGTGGAAAGGGAGCCAAGTAGATCCCTGCTTTTTGGAAGTGGACCCTGATGTCTACTCCTACCTGTAATTCGTGTGGGGTAAAGCCACATAGACAGACAGAAGGCTAACTCTCCCTTCCCTTCTCTCTGACCCCTGAATGAGGGTCAGTCCCATATCTGCCCAGAGCCTGCCTCCCACTCCAAGTCAGTGCTGACTATCTTTCAAACAAGACCCCCGTGTTGGGCAGTGTGTAATCGTTGGCTAAGGTGATAGAGAGTGGGAGAGAAGAGCCCTGCTTTGTATAGGATCTGCTAATCTCTGTGGTGTAAATAAACCTCCCACCACAGCTGATTTTAAGCTACCAACGTGATGTCACTGAACACAGAGTTGGGAGGGGGTGTGCATGATCTGCTCTCGTGAGCCGGGTGAGCCAACTCCAACTCTGACTTCCAGCAGCAAATGGGGGGCCAAACATCTCCCTTTGGACATTATAAGGACATCTCAAGTTCATCATGTTCTGGTTAAACTCATCTTCCCCGGCAAAATCCGCTCCCCTATTTGGAGAAGGGTACCACCATCTACTTGGTTACTCAAGTCAGAAAGGTGGAGTCATCTTGAACTCCTCTTTCTTTCTCAATCCCCACTTTTATCATCAGTAAATTGGTCAATTCCACCTCCAAAGGTCCCACCAGTCCAGCCCTTGATTACTGCAAGCGCCTACCAGCCAGTCCCCCACCTGTAGCCGCTTCTAAACGCGCTCCATGCCAGGGCAGGGAGGGATAGATCTTTTTAAACTGCAAATCTGAGCATGTCCATCCTCAGCTGAACACACACCAAGGCTCTCCACTGCCCTCAGGATAGAGTCCCGACTCCTGAAGACCCTGTCCAGGTCCTTCTCGACTGGGCCCTTGCTCACCTCACTAGCCTCGGCCTGGCTTTGCTACGCAGCGCACTTTCCCTGTTTCTCCAGTAGTTCATAAGAACCTGTCTTACGGCGGGGGCTCCTCCCCAGCCTCACAACCTGGGAACCTCTGCTCTTCTTTGATCACAGTTTAGTTACCCCTCCTTCTTGGAAGCCTTCTCTGTCTGCCCACACCCCAAGGCAGGTGCCTCCTCCGTATATCATTCCCCATAATCCTCGGCCACAGAAGGCTTGCCCACTTGGCCTCTCCCCCTTAATGACAAACACCCCACCCCCTTTGTCTTCCCCTGCTCCCTGCGCTCACCAGCTCTGCGTGGCTTCCTGGGAGGAGTTGAGGTGGTTGCCCTGGTCTCTAGTGGTCTCTAGTGAGGACTCAGCGGGGGAGGCCCCAGTCACTGGGGTGATGGTCACCCCCACAGTCCAAAGTAGAAGTAGGCTGGGCTTCGTTAAGCCTCCTGGTACCATAATCCTTCTCCTACCACCAAGGCTGCACCCACACGGAGAACTGTTTCTTCTCCTGAAGGTAAATAGCCCTTTTAAAGGGTAGAGCTTGAAACAGGGAGGGCAGAATTGCGGCGAGAATGTTGGCTTTGGAATGAGGTGAAGCTGGACCAGCCCAAGCTCTAGCACTGACCTGCTGAGTGGCCTCAGGTGAGTTATGAAACTCTCAGTCTCCTTCTCTGGGAGGTGGCCTGGCGGGCCTGCCCCACAGCTTTGTTGGGAGGACCGATAGAGGCCTGGGCATAGGTGGGCTCTCAGCATAGGCCCTAGGACAGGATAGGTGCCCAGGGGATGGAATTTATCACTATTACCTGGATAGAAAGTACTTTTTGCCATTGGAGTCAAACCCCATGCAGGAGGTACGGTTCCTCATGATGCACACTGAGCCAGAAGCCAGGGGAGCTGAGGCAGACCCCATCCCCCGAGCGTGTCCCCCAAAAGGGGGCCTTTTCAACAACTTTTAGGTAGCTCATTCGCACGGTACTGCCAAAAGGGTATTGGAGGACCGCCGTGATCGACACAATGGGGTCTCTGGTCAGACTGGGAGGCAGGCCGAGGTGGTGGCCAAGGGGTAGGGCCTGTATTCTGTTACTCTTCTGTCCACCCAACAGGCCCGTCCTGGCTTGGTCCTGGCTGTTAGAATCTGGGGACTGGCTTTCTCGGTGACCTTTCTCGGTGACCTTGCCAGGAGCGGCTGGGCTCAGGACATGCACATGGCGGTTCCTCTCATGAAGCTAACGGCCCATCGGAGCAGTGGCCACATGAGCCCAGAGGCCCGGATGCCAGTAACCCCGCGGCCTGGCGGTCTGTTGAGCAGTGGGGTGCAGAGTGTAGACTCTGAGCCATGCGGCCCGGGCTGAGCACCTGAATCCCCACGTGGCCACAGTCGAGTGAATGATCCTGGGCAAGTCACTCGGCCTCTCTGTGCCCGGCTTTTCTCACCCATGAAATGGAGGGGCTAATAGTACCTCCCGGTGGGCTTCTTGTGAGGATTAGGTGAGTTACAGTGTGTAGCGGTCTTAGGACGCTGCCTGCCCAAACTTCAGTGCCATGCGTCAATCCATAACATCATCGCTGGGGTCAGAGCCAGAGGGAATCTTGCCCAGGAGGCCAGGACTCTGCAGCCCGGGACCCTTTCAACCCTGCCTCCAGCCTCGGCCCCCGACCAGTCTGCCAGCCCTGCTCCCCAGCTCTGCCCTTTGGCTCCCCACCCTGACCCGTCCCCCACCTCCAAGCAGCCCTGAACGGCACAGCCCCTCCTGTGGATGGGATTTAGCGATCGGCTCTCTGAGCCCGCTCCCTAGACTATGGGTAGGAGATGTTCCCGCTTGCACTGGCTCCCTCTGGTGAAGGCAGGGGAATGGGCAGGCTGGACTCCACACCTCCACTGGGCTAGCCTCTGGGAGTCTGAGGCTAGCCCTCTGCTTTCCTCTCCCTCTCACTGTGCAGGCAGGACAGGAAAAGTGCACAGTAGAGCATGGAGATGGTGGCCTGATTTATGGGGGAAGCTCTTGGTGCCAAGGGTGCTGGGTTCTAATCCTGTCCCAGCCTCTATGTGTGGGCCCCTGGCCCCTTGCTGGACCTCAGTTTCCCCTTCTGAGGGGGCTGTGCTAGACCATCGCTGAGGTCCTTTCTACCCTGACATTTGGTGATTGTCCTGATGCCCCGTGGTTTGGGCTCTCCTTCCCATAGTCACAGTATCTTCCCACATTGTCACCCAGGTCCCCTTTTGGTCCCTAAGGAAACATATCGGAGGGGAAGCTTCTGATTTCTCCGAGCCCCGGGCCACTGGGTAGAGGCACCAAGAACGAGGCCTTTGAGGACGAATGGTGGGTCAGGCCTCTGCCGAGACCAGGAGCGTGTGCTTGGGGCAGCAGATCTGGATGCTGGGTACCTGCTCCAGGGGCTTCTGGAAACAAGGCTTGTCCCCTGGAAAGCTGGAGCAGCCCATCTGGGGAGGGGCGAGTACTTTCTCCCTGCCTGTAAACAGCAGGGCCACCTTGCAGCTGCTGGCTTCCTGGCCAAAGGGTGGTCTCATGAACCCTCCCGAGAAGCTATAATTTCGGTATATTTAGGCAGGCCTGCCCTGGTTGACTACATTATAGGTGGTGGCCGCCAGGCCCAGAGGCACAGCCAGGACTCGCTCCCCTCCACCCAAACCCTTGCCATTAGCTAGCCCAGCCCCCGCACCCTGAAGAAGAGCAAAAACCACTTACAGGGGGGCCACGGGGGCCGATGATGGACATGCCGGAATCTCCTGGGGCCCCCTGTGGGAAAGAGAGAGAGGAGAGGGAGAGGGACAGGGGCAGGGACAGGAGGGGGGAGGGGTGGGCAAAGGAGGAGGTAAAGAAGGGAGACGGCAGGTGGGGAAGGGGAGTGGGTGGGGGGTTGCCCAGCCAGAGGCCGGGAGAACAGAGGGGGCGGGGGGGAGTGGAGGGCAGTGTGGAGGGAGGTGGGGGATCACAGGAGAGGAGACAAGGGGGCACAGGGAGCATCCGGGAGGGAGTGAGAAGGGCAGCGGGAGGCCGGAGGAAGGAAGACGGAAGAGAGGTGAGCGGTAGCATAAGATGTGGGACCAGGGACAGAGGGGGGTGGGACCCCAGGCAGAAGAGGGAAGAAGGGATTCAGTGCAGGGATAAGCAAGGGCAGCTCAGGGAGGGGAAGGCACACAGCCACGCCGCTCAGGCCGCAGAGGCCTCCTCTAGGCCCTGCTCGGTGCCCTCCAATCTGCCCCAGCCCCACCCTAGCCTCAGAGCCCCTGAGGCCTTCGTCCCCGCCCCAGCCCCCCAGATGCCCATGTGGCGCACGCCCCCGCAGCAGGTGAGCCCAGCTGCTCCGTGGATGGAGTTGCTCGGAACAGGGGTGGGGACAAGACCCATGCTCGCCGTGTGGGCCCCACGGCCCTGAGCCTGCAGACGGGGCTGCCTCGGACCTCCTAGGCCTGATGTGAGAGTGACACAGAGGGGTGAAGTCGGGCCAGAATTCTCAGTCCTGAGAGGATGGCGGCTGCTGCTGAGCTGGGAGCTCCAAGTGCCATCCAAGGGTGGCCGGGCTGCCCAGATATCTACACCCGTGTGTGTGTGTGTGCGCGCGTGCGCATGCACACGCGTGTGGGTGCTGGGGGCAGGGAGGGCGACAGAAAGATGAAGGTGTCAGGGACACAGATGGGGGTCAGAGATGATGCCCGGGCAGAAGGATCTAGACGGTGCCCTGATGTGCGGAGGGCTGACTGCTGCTTCCCACCAGGGGGGCTCCCAGGCCTCCCTCCCAGGTCTTGCTCTGCCAGGCAAGTCACAGAACCTCTCCCAGCCCACATCCGCCCTCTGTGAACCGGGTGCTGAGGGCTGCTCGGCTACCCTTCCAAGCAAAGGCCCTAAATGTATTTGTGACTGTCATGCCTCACGCCCAGGTGAGCAGTGATCTCAGATTTGTAACTGTTTACACCACGGCAGCGGTAATGACCACACGAGGCAGGGTAGTGCAATGGCTAGGAGCCAGCCAGAGCCCTTGGGTTTGAAGCCCAGCTCTGCTCCTTCCCAGCTGTGTCACCTTGGGCCACTTAACTTCCTTCTGCCTCAGTTTCCTTACCTATCTCATAGGATGGGTGTGAACGTTTCGTGAGATAATGTTGTAAAGTGCTGAAAAGAATGCCCGGTGCATGAAGGGGCTAGCAAGTGTTTGCAATTGTCCTCAGGCACCGATCGTGTCCTTCATCTTTCTCCTGGGCAGCGTGGAGCTCTAGGAGGGGACGCCGTGAGGGTGGGGCTCCTCTCCAGCTCTATCACTTGCTGCTGTGTGACCTTGGGTCTGTGAAGCTGCCTCTCTGTGCTCTCATGTAAATAAGAATATTGAAGCCTCCCTGGAAGGGCTATGTCAGTGTTAGTTGGGAGAACAGAGGCCAAACACCGCGGCACCTGGCGGTTTGTGCTTAGGACATTGCAGCTGCGAGTGTTCTGCTGCCATTGTCATTATTTTGGAGACGGAGAGACTCGAGAAACACGCACTGCCATGTACAGGCAAGGAAGTACTAAGCTGGGCATCGGGAGGTCTGGCTTCTCGCCCCCGCTCGTCATTATTGGCGTGGGATCTTCAGCAAGCCACACCCCCGCTCTGGGCCTCAGTTTCCTTCTCTGTAAAGGGAACTGGTTAGATGTGTTGCTCTCTGATTCCTCAGGATCCACCAGGGCTAACGCTCCAGAATGGTCTCTTGGGCTTCTGGCTTCCGAGGGGGCTTCACTCTAGGCCCCTGGGAGTCTCTCTGGGGCAGCACGAAGAGAATTTCTATGTCTGAGGGCACCAGCAGTAGGCTGGGGAGGGACTAGAACCAGCTGCCCCAAACAGCGATGGTGCTCCCCTCGGCTCGGGGAAGGGGGACGGCGAGGCCACAGGCAGCCTGGGTGTGTGGGGAGACCCATGCAGCAGGGAGGCTGGGCCCTTAGCCAGGAGTCAGGGGCCTGGACACTGGGCCTGGAGAGCCTGCGAAGGCAGAGTGCTGGGGCCTGTGTGCTGGGGGAAGGGCTGAGATGGGGGCCTCTGGAAGCACCCCGAGAATCCAAGGGGAAGAGACTGGGGCAGAAAGGTGGAGGGCAAAGTGAGGACTCACCTTCTCGCCTGGTTGGCCCTTTACTCCCTGGGCAGCCACATGCAACACAGGGTGGGGAGGAGAGAGGGGGAGAGAAAAAAGAAAGGATAAGAGAGAGGCACACACGTGAGAATCTGTGTTAAAGGCACAAAGACCAAACAAAAGAAATCGCTGTGAAGTAAGAAACAAAACAAAACATAGATGTTGACACATGACAGGTGTCCCTCCTCCAACAAGCACAGTGCAGGGTTGGCTACAGATTTACCCCCGGGGCCCGGCCCCAGTCAGCCATTCTAGATAACCGAGAGAAACAGAGGCAAGATGTGTGTGTGTGTGAGAGAGAGAGAGAGAAACCCATCCAGGGCAGCAAATCTGCCTGAGAAGCCATGAGAAGCCATGTCCCCAGCTCACTGGGTCACCTGAGGTGGTGGTGGTTGGTGGGGAGGGAGCATGAGGGAGACTTGTCCAAGGACTGTGTTGTGAAGTGGAGTTTAGTTAGTTTGAAGGTCCAACTGAGCACCAAGCACAAAGTTTTGCCAAGCTACACACGCTGGGAGCCGTCAGGCCTGGCCAGGCAAGATGTCGGGAGAGAGACTAGAGGAATACGGGAGGACAGACAGTAGGACAGACATCTGGGGGGATGGAGGATGGGTCTGGGATGCAGAGGAAACTGGGCAGTCACCAAGGGCCCCTGTAACCACAGCAATGCGCAGAGAGACAGCTCCGATCTACCCTAATCCACTGAAGCCAGGGGTACCAGCTCCAGTGAGAACCACAGGGGCAACTCAGGCATTTCACACCCCCCGGCCACCCTCGTCCTTATCAGGTGGCTGGGGCCAGGACTCCTACTGGGCAGCCAAATGGGTCCATTGTCACATTGAAAATAGCACAAGCAGCATGAAAACCCCCAAGTGGCTGGAAAACAGAAATAGGGGGCTTCCTGTGGCCTTCCCTCCTGCCCCCACCGCTGAGGGTCAGAACTCGGCTCAGATGGACACTTCTTGGGCGCACACATCCACAAGGGCCCAAGAAGGAGGGCAGGAGGGGGAGGGCAGGCAGCGGCACTCAGGGTATAGAGTCCTGACGCCCACCTGTTAGGAGCCAGGATCTCGGCGTCTGACAGTCAGCTTGGGTGCAAGCCCCAGCTCCACCCCCCAATCCCAGGCAAACTGAGTCTCAACAAGCTCATCAATAGGACGGGTTCCTGGAAAGCTCTGATGGAGAACGTGCCTGCTTCAGGCCCATGCACGGTGAGCCCCTGAGAAAGGCTGGCTGGCTCTATTCTCCCTGCTGCACACACAAAAGGACCAGTGACAGCCTGGGGGACTCAGGGTTTGGAGTGAGAGAACTAAGGCAGAGGGACAGGGTCAGGCAGGACCTCGGGAAAGACACTTAACATCTGAGCCTCAGTTTTCTCATCTGAGCAATGGGTAGAAATTGTGCCTACCTCCGGCAGCTCTTGGGACCCAATGAGCTAATGTGAGTGAGGCTCTCAGCACAATGCCCAGCGCAGAGTGAGCGCTCTCGGGTGTTAACTGTGATTCGGAGGCCTCTCTGAGCACCAGGCTCACACCAGGCAAGCAAGCTCCCGCAAGAATGCCATACCCAGGCCTGAGGCCAACCCGTGAGGAGGTGAGGTCAAGAGGCAAGGCATGTGAGTGGCATAGAAGGATGGCGTGGGGGAGCTGGGGGGCCCTGGGGAGCCAGAGGGAGGTCGAGGCTGATAGCTGTAGGGGAGTCGAGGGTAGATGGGGAGAGTAGCTTGGGCATGTCCTAGACTCACTTGGTGCTGGTGAGGCCGGCGTGTGGCCATCACCCCCTTGGGCTGCCCCAGTACCTGAGCTGCCCTTTCTAGCCCCTTGGAGGCTAGCAGGCACCCGGGACCAGCCTGGATCTGGGACCCCAAGATCTAGTGCCGGCCCTCCCATTTCTGAGCTATCCCCTCCCTGCGGAACATTCCTGTTTCCCTTTCTTCATCCTGAGTTTTCAGCAGGAAACATTCAGTGTCTAACTCCTAGCCTCATGGTGAGGATTTGGAGGCACTGCCTGGGAGTCAGCCCTGTCCCCCACCAGCTTCTAGTCTCTGCCTAGGGAAGGCGCCTCTGGAAGCCGGCTCCGCTGCAGCTTCCATGGGCATCTTGAGGCTGCATTTGTCACCATCTGTTGCTGCTCTTGCTGGGGAGTGGTGGCAAAGCAGCTGGAAGTCTGAAGAAGAGCTGCTAGCCTTGGGAGGTGGGGGGGGGGGCGGTGGAGTGGGTGGGAGTCCTCCTGATGTCATGAGGGGCTTGGGCCTCATCCTGTCCCTCGGTGGGGGATCGACAAAGAGCTTTATCAGTGCCATTTCTTGGATTTTTCCTTTGCCATGGCAGCTGTATGGAGAGTAGAGTCCTACTGTAAGATCTGAAGGATTGGAATAAAACTTCCTCCTTTCTTCTCTCTAGTCCCTCTCTGAAGCCGACTTGGGTGGAGGAAGAGAGACATCTGACCCCCTCCTTGGGGCTGGGGAGGTTGCCATGGTTTCGAGGACAGGGCGGCATGAAGAAGCAAGCAACAGCCACCCAAGCAAGTACAAATGCGCCAACTCACCACACGTCCAGGCATCCCAATGGCACCTTTGTCCCCCTGATGAAGGAGGCAGAAACAATTAGATGTGGCTGGAGCCAGGCCAGCGTAGGAAGGACCCCATGGGCTAGCTATGCACCCAAGACCTGCTTTGCATGGGCGGTTGGGATGATGCCCACTCAGCCCCCAAGGACTGTTAGGCAAGCAGCCACCCCTGCCACGATCTGCTCTCAGCGCGGTGCTGTGGAAAGTGCACTAAACTAGGAGTCTGGTCCCCAGCCTGAGCCTCAGTTTCCCTATGCGTTTCACAAAGCATCCAAGGCCCTTCCTCTCTTAGACTTCTGCTATCACAGTCTAGCTTCGGCTTCACCCAGGATGTGCCATATCTTCGTCCCGCTCAACTCCAAGGCACAGAGCCCAGAGAGTGGTGGCCCCATGTGCCAGGTGAATGGTCTATCTGTGCCAGAGCTGAGGCGCAGTGCCCACGTCCCCCGACTCCTCCCCAGGCTCTCCATCCAAGAAGGCTACGACAGAGTGCTCTCCCTGCCCTCCTCTCGGCCACCCCCGGCACCAACAGGAAGGACAGTGAGCCACGTAGATACGGCCGCATTACGAGTTTCAGCCGCTCAGAAGGATCCACTTTGTTTCGTAGCCAGGAGTTACATCTTCTTACTCTGGAAATCTGCTTAGTAAGTTTTGTTCCTCTCCTTTTTGGTAGAAAATATTTTTTTGCAATAATACGTGTGCAGACATCATAAAATCTGGGGTGGGGCCTGGGGTACACTAGGAATCTAGAAGGACGGAAAGCAATGGGGGCCAAAAATCAGACAGTGTTTGTCCTGGCTTCCTGGGCAGGAGAGAGCTGGGTTTGTGGGTTCCCCTGAAGGGTGTGGGCATTTCTGGGGCAATTCTGTGTCTGCTGACCCCACTGAGGCAACAAGCCTTGAGGGACAATTAGCATCTCAAGATGTATCTGGATGCACCCGAGGACAGCAAGTGCTCTGCAATTAGGGTCTTCTTACACACACGGGTCAGTGGTGTCTCTAGGAAACGGCTCACCCTTTGCAAAAGAGTGCCGGGTTAGCAGCATTGGTGATAAGCCTGGATCTGTTTCCGTGCCTCCCTCAGCACCCGTGTCTCTCTCAAGGGGCTGCTGGGAGGATGCAGTAAATGATGCCCCGGGAAAGCCTTCTCCCAGCGCTTGGCACCTGGAGCATGTCGCGTATTCGGGGTCTACAGGTAGGGAGCCCAGCACGGCTGTGGGCAAGTGAATTGTACAGCATGTTTGTGCTTCAGAGTTTTGCATTTCACAAGGGGCTGGCTGCAGCAATTCTTTGTGCGGGTCCCTCCCAGGTTCCCCCACGTGGAAGCACGAGGGGGGCGAGGACCTGGGGGCCAGCGGTCCGCCCTTCCTGCTGAGGACACCAGGCCTGCCGCACGCGGGCTGAGACACCCCCATGGCCCGCTCACTCCTGGGCTTCTGAATGATATTGCAGGCTGTGTATTTTGGTTTCTCTTCGTTTCTTTTTTAAAACTAATGTTCTTTGCAGTCCTGGCCATAAAATGCTCAGGTTAGGGACAGGCATGGAAGGGCCAGAGACTAGGAACTCTGTGTAGCAGCCCCTGCTCTGTGAATTGCCCCCAAATGCTTTTTAAAGGTGGACGTTGTCAGAAAAAAACAAAGTCTGCCCACGTTCTCCCCAGTCATCTGATTTTTCCCCTCCTTGGATTTCATGGGACTGATTCACCCATCCTCCTTTGCTCTGGGGCTCGGTACTTACTGGGAGAGTTTCCAGTTCCAAGGCTAAACACCCTCCCACATGCATTTCATTAAGAAAATCACTGCTGGGCTTGAATTCTAGAAGCTGCTAGATTAGTCAAGACGTTACAGTGTAATTCATGTCTAAAAGAAGAGTAACCAGGATGCACAGAAGGGTCTGGAATCCAATGGATGTGGTCCTCGGTGCAGGGAGGGCAGCCCGGGGCCAGCCCCGGCTCACCCTCCACACCCCACCTTGGCCCTCTAGTTGGCTACCACATCTCACCCGACTCCCCGGCTATTCCTGGGCCCTCCGTCATCTAGCACTCAATGCATCTATGCCCCAGGCTACATCCCACAGAGCCATGTCTCTGAAGACTTTACAGACTGTTCTCAAATGTCAAGCATGGACCATAGGAAACAGAGGTATGAAATGTGTGTGACAACATGGCCCCCACAGGGCTCCACTGAAGCTTGGACAATTGGACAAGGTATTTTGCTCTCTTGAGTCTCAGTTTCCTCATCTATAAAATGGGTATGATAACAGCCATTTCACTGAGTTGTTGAACAAATCAAATATATGAAGAGTGATGAGCATAGTGCCTGGCCTGTAGTAGGGTCTCAATAAGAGATGGCTAGTGGTATTACTTCTACTTTTAATCCAAAGTCCCCATGGTTACTTGGCTCAGCCTCTCCGGCATTCAGAAATGGTAACTGGGGGGGAAAACAAAGTTTTTGCATCTCCTTTTACCGGAGGTCACAGGACAAAGGAGGGACAGTGGTCTTAAGCTAAGCTGGTATGCAAGAGGATAGCCAGTTAGGCTGCCACCCTTCCAGACCCCCATTAGAGGGCCTTCAGTCTAGAGGTCAGGTCCAGCCTTGGAAGGGCCTGCATGCTGTCATCTGCCTGCCTGGGGCCCCAGGAGGGCTCCCCAGGAGCTTCACCCTCGGCTGTAGGTTAGAGGTGCTGGAGAGAGGCCTTGCACCCAGACACACCTGAAGGAAAGCAGCCACCCAACCTAGCCAGCCCTTGGCGCGAGGAGAGCAGCTGAGGGAGATAGAAAGGAAGGATGAAATGAAAGCTACTTACTGGGTGGCCGGGTCTTCCAGCGGGACCCTGAAATAAAGAGGGAAAGCGTGAGGTTTACGAAGGTCACGGTGTTAATACCCGAGCGTCCCACACTCTGCCCAACCAGCCGCGTGGCCTGAAGCCACTGTTCTCTAGAAGCCTCTGTTATTGTATGAACAAACTGAAGGCAGGACCTTGATCACTAAGCTTCCTTTCAGTTTTAGCATTCATTCATTCATTCATTCATTCATTCATTCATTTAGAAAAGCAGTTAGTGGGGGTCTCCTCCATGTCAGGCCCAGGGAAGATGCAAGGAAAAGAAAGACAAGAATGTTCCCTCCCATGTCTCTGCCCCTCATGACTCAAGGATCATCAGGGCTGTGGGTCTCACCAACACCTCCTCTCTTTGAGTCTTTCTGTCTCAGTCAGTGCGATATTCTACCACTCTTTTCCGGCCCTGTGTTGCTCCAGGAGCCTGTCTTCACTGACCACAGCATGGTCTTTCAGCCCTGTCCCCATTACCCTCCTACTCCTGCCTAGCACAATCCGGGGCACAGACTAAAGGCTCCATGTAATGGATCGGAAATCCCACTGGAAAGAGGAAGACCTTCAACAAAATGTGTATCAGGGCTAATAATTACCATCCGAGCAACATGCAGAGCGGGTGGCTCCGAAACCAAGCAAATCCTAAGAAAATCATGTCTTTCTAGTTCTGGCGCTCAGCTTCCAGATGGATCTGCTACAAGAGGGTGGCTGAGAAACAGCACAAATGGTGCCTTGGGGGCATCATGGAGCACCTTGTAAAGGGGAGGAAACACCTGGAAAGAGCTTCTGGAGCTGAGATGCAGCGCTGGCAGGGCTGGGGCACGGGGTCCAGGAGAGGTGGTGACAGAGACAGTAGGAAGGATTTAGTTATAAGCACGGGCTCTGGAGTCAGCCTGCCTGTGCTCAAATCCCGGCTCTGTCACTCCCGAGTTGGCACCTTAATGAGCTGCTTGGCCTCCCTGTATCTCAGTTTCCTCATCTTGTAAATGGGAGAACAATGACAGCTATCTCTTAGGATCACAGGAGATAATGTATGCGAAGCACAGGGGCTGGCATACAGCAAGTGCTAAATAAATGCTACCTATTACAGTTATTGGAAAAGAGCACTGGCAGGAGGTGTGTGGAGCGGGCCTCGGTTTCTCCCTGCAGAGACGTTGCTACAGATGTGTTTTCTCTCCTTCCAGATGTCCTGCTCTTCCTGTGAAGCCGAGGCAGGACCAGGGTCTCGGGGTGCTCACTGGAACACAAGCCCATCTGCTGCAGGGCTGCTCAGGCAAACCCGGGCAGCACCAGGCATAAGTCATCCCCCCTCTGGGCCTTGTTCCTGAGGACACCCCGGAGGCAGTGGTGCAGTGACTCACCCACAGAGAATCAAGGTCAGGGAGTCCTTGGGGAATGCTGGGTAATGGTTCTCATGGGAACAGGACGCGTCCCCATCTCTTCACTCTGCTTGATTTTGCCCCCATGGCACTAAAAGGTAAGCTCCCGGGGTCAGGGATTTTTCTGTTCTGTTCATGAATGTTTCCAGTGCCTTGCGGAGTGCTGAGCTCATGGTCAGTCCTTCATTCCTATTTGTGGACCAAGGAACCTGAGGGCGGATGCTCAGAACCTGGGAACTCAGCCTCCTTTCCCAGGCCCCCACAAAGACAGCTCAGGCACCAAATAGCCTCCTTAATCCAGAGTTTTCGCACTGAGCCAGTACCCTCTTCCTGTCACTTCTATGTTGCTTGGTCCTGATGCCACCAGGGAGTGGGCAAGACATGGGGCAGCCACCTCCTTCACATCCCAGGGACGGGAACAGGTCTGCTGAGGGTTTCCAACCCCACACAGTGGGTCTACCCCAAATAGGGACAGAAGGGACAGATTACTACCACTCCTGTGTACCCACCACCTACTCATCCTACCTCATCTGCACACGGGAGGGACTTCCTTTGGGTCTCAGTACCAGGAAGAGCTGTGTTTCAGTCAAGCGCCAGGGGTGCTCCTACCTTCCTGCAGCCTGACTTGAACAACTCTGCTTTCCTCTTTGCTCTGGCCACCAGGAAGCTTGGAGCCCAGTCAGTGGCTCATCTTGCATAAGAGGTTGTCATGTCATTAGCTCTGGATCCTTCTGCCTCGGCTCTCCACCCTCCTCCATCGTTTCCATATCTCGTTTATAAATCACCCCAAAATGTTTTTTTTTAGAATAAGGTGGGTAGAAATAGATGAAATAAACAAATTAATAAAAACCACAGAATAATCATTTCCTCTTTAAAATGAAAGGCTTACCAGAATCTTTGTGGATCCTCTAGGATTTAAATGAGTTAATATATTCTAACTGGGAATATATTCTAACACACACTGTGTGTGTATATATGTGTGTATATATATGTATATGCATATATACATATGTATATGCATATATACATACATGCATACACACATACCATTACATATATATTCCTCACAACTCCTGGAAGAGGCAGACACTATTACTAACCCCATTTTACAGATGAGGAAACCGAGGCCCAAAGAGGTAAAGCACCTTGCCCAAGCTGACATAGCTAGAAGTGGCAGAGTCAGGATTCGGATGCAGGCAGGCTGGCTCCACAGTCCATGCTTGTATGCAAACACAACAGTGCCTAACAGTAAGTGCTAGCTAGGATTTCAGCAAGGATCACCTTCAGCCAGGGTGGCAGCTGGACATCATGTACTTCCCTGTATTCCTCCGAAGAAAGAGGCCTCCCTACCTCCCTCCGCCTTCTGTTTCAGCTTCACAGTTTCCATTACGAAGTTCTCTGAAATCTACAGCAGGCGTGGCCCGCAGGTGTCAGCTCCAATGTGCAAACTCAGGTGGATTGGTAGCGACTGAGTAAAGCGTTCTGTTAAGAAACCTCCTGATTGATTAGCAATGTCTGCCATGGGCACGAGGGGTGGGGTGGTGGTGTCCACAATTTTTCTACCATCTAAATGTTTCCTGCTGCTACTTAAATCCATCCTGCTTGGTTGTGTTCTCTAGGCAGTGGCCATCCTATGCCCTTGGGAACCTGGGTCTTCCAACTGGAGGGGCTCCTAAGAGACACTCAGGGTGGCAACAGGCACTGCCACCAGCCGCCATCTCTCTATCCCTTGCCTCCCTCAACAGCATTCTTCCTTTGCAGGAAGCAGATAGAACAGGGCTAGGAGGTGACTCCCACCCTGGCCAGCTTCCCATTTCCTCTTTGTGGTTTCAGCCAGGGAAGGGTGAAGGTGCAGGCCACGCACAGAGGCCGGGTCGGGAAACTACTTGGGCTCCTGCCCCTTACTCCTGGCTCAGGTGGTGGCCAGGCGGGCAGGGACTGAGGGAGACCCATATCCATCCCTACTGCATAACCCCCAGGGGCAGCAGCACCATCTCTGGCTGGGAACCATCTGGGGAGTGAGGCTGGCAGGTGAGGCTTCATCCCGAGCTGACACTGGCGGCTTGGCCTCGCAGCCTGGGGGTGGCGGGGGGATGGGCCGGGTGTCTGGCGGGGGGGAGCTCCCAGGAGTGGGGGAAGTGAGGACTCTTTTTGGCTTTGTCAAGAAAGAAGGGTTTTGAAAAGCAGCCCATTTCCAGCAGGTGGTCTGTTGAAGTTTCCTATGGTGGAGTTTATTTTGGAAGATTGATGACAGGAATTGAGATCTGACATCTAAAACCTGCCATGATAAATCATCCCCCTGCTTTTGGGGACTGACACGGTTTTCCTCCCTCTGTAAGCGGCGGTCGGAGAGCTGGGCAGGATGGGCGGCACGAGCTCAATGTGCCTTTTCAGGACCAGACAGGATAGTAAATAATGGTCTGACTGCAAATTGGGCCGGCTGCTCCCGAAGGGCAGACGGAGAGAGGACCGACCATGCAATGGCGGCTCTGAGCAAGGCCAGGGATAGCGCTGATCTCAGGAACCTTGACAAAGATCTGGTGTGGGGGCTCCGCCCTTTCAACGCCAATCCCCAGCTTCTCCCCGCCCCCCCCAACCCGCCCAACCTGCCAACAACCTCTGGGCCTTTTTTTGGGGTATCAAATGCTGTCCTGAAAGAAGATGTGCTCCTATTCTCCGGATTCATTACTTCAGGGAGACAGTCTCCTTGGGCTCTTCTCAGGTTCTTTGGAAGCGATTGGGCTCCCGGCCCCGCCCTGGGCCTTAGGGCGACGCCAGGGGAAGGAGCCAGACCTGCGGTCATCTGTTGTCTCACACTGTCTAGCCCACTGAAACTGATCTCTCACATCAAAATACCACCAGCACCAGCACCACCAGCAACGACCACCTGCTGATCACTTAAGTGGGCCGGAATGGAGCCGCCCACACAGCAGGGTGGACAGCAGGTCCCGGGGAGCCGTCCACGCAGAGCCACATGCTGACCTGTCTCCTGAAAGGCCAAGAGACCTTTCAGGACCAGAACTGAGTAGAGATTATCTTTCTTCTTTCTTATACCTGGAGCTTCTTTGAGTCCAGTTGCTTCCTCTGGGGACAAAGGAGCTGGGCCTAACAATGGGGCAAGCCAGCTTTTCAGATTGAAATTGGGACCCGCTGTGCCCCAGGGGCGGCCATTGTCTTGCCCTGGAGAGGTGCAGAGGTGGTTGGAAAGCGAAATGGAGGCCTCCTTCCCCGTGTCAGCATTCTGGAGGGACCCCGCAGAGTTGTGCGGAGAGTACAGGGGCTCCCCTGGAAGACGGCGAGCCCAGCTGTCAGTCCCCCCTCCCAGGGCCCGGTTACCAGCAGGGAGCGAGGCCTTTCAGATGTGCTAGCCCCGGCTGCGGCTGGTGTTACTTACAGGAGGTCCTGAAAGAGACAGAGAAAATGCCAGGGTCAGTGTCACGGCTGGAAGGAGAAGCAGACCTGCCTCAGAAGCAGCGTCCGAAAATCCTTCGGCTGAGGGCTTTCCATCTGGTCTTCGACGTTTGTATTTTCCTGGCCCACTTTCACCAAAATAATCTCTCCCCCTTTATTTCATCTCCATATTTTCATTATTGGATGAGAAATCTAGATGTCTGGGCC